TAGGACTTCAGGAGCTGAACTGAAGGCCTATACGGCATGCGCCCATCCCCCGGGCCCCGGTGACCACCGCGAGAGCCAGCAGGAAGGCGGGGCCTGAGCTCCAAGTGAGGATGAAGCCTGGTGAGGACAGCAGGCAGAGGAGAACCGCAAGTGAGTGGGGAATGGCGGGTGAGTCCCGAGCCCCGCCTCCTGGGCACTGCCTCTCTCTATTTCTCTCTGTTCCCTCTCTGCTCTCTTTAAAGGCACTCACGCTGCCAGCACCTGAGCCGAGAGGGAAAGAGAGATCGTTTCTCTGCCTCCCCACCACACTCTGGTTGAACATAAGGCAAATTAAAGTGGGCTCACTGCGGGACTGGAGGCAGCGCCCAGGAGGCGGGGCTCAGGACTCGCCTGCCGTCTTCCACTCACTCGTGGTTCTCCTCTCCCCGCCGTCCTCACTGGGCTTCGTCACCGGTCACCTTCCTGTCGTCATCGGGGCCCAGGGGACGGGTGTATGCCATAGCCTAACATGTCAGATTATCCACTACCATAATTTGGAACTGACAGAGGAATCAACCAGTCATGGTTTGATTTACAGTGGGACCAATTTAGTGAGAAAAATGTCAGTCCTGTCCTTCTGGAAGTCCTAGATATGTCTAATCAGGTTTTGGGTGGTTGTTAGGAATGGAAAACAGTGGCGGCAGCTCTATATCAGGACTGTTTACTGAAAGACATTCAAGTGTAAATATATGATAATATCTGTTACAAGCTGAAATTAAACATACGGAATGTCTTTTACAAGCTTTAAATGTCTGTGTTTATTCTCAAACTACCGTCAGTGTTGATGCGGATTGCCGTTAGCTTATTGCTAACATACTGCTGGGATCCCATAGGGGCACTAGCAGAAATTAGCACTATCATAGAGGTATTTTTTTTGACTGAGTTTTGACGGTTATGAACTGAAGGCCTAGCGCTAACGGTCACCGTTCACCACTGATTATTAACAGGGCCTGACAGATATTACATTTTGTTGCTGACACTGATGCTAATATTAAGGAGTGATATGTGATAACCAGTAATATCAGATAATTTAATATTTATATTTTAGAATCCAGTTGTTTAAGTTAAACAGTGCTTTGCTGAATGATATGACTGACCAAACCAAACTATTATTAATCAATATTAATATTAATCTCATAAATTGTGTTATAAGCAGATATGGAACGCAAAACTTAAAAACCATAAAAAAATGGGTAAAAAATAAGGTAAATAGTATGTTTGGCTGAACAAGTATAAACAGGTAAATTCAGTTAAAATGAATGCAAACATGCAATGCATTGTAGGGCTGTGACTGTTTATTATATTAATCATAGAGTAATCTGCTTCTTATATGGATGATTATTGATGATTACTCAAGTAATCAAAAGGCCACAATAATAAAAATGGACTTGAGTGAACAATAACAACCCATGCTGAGCCTTTAAATATTACATAATACTTTACTGGATAAAAGATAAACAGTGATTGACCTTTTTATTAAATTATATTTAAACATGATTGTTTCCTCTGTAACCTGACTAGGAAGAAACTGCTAGAGAGAGGAGGAATTAGAGAGAGTGATGGAGAGAAGGAGGGATTAGGAAGAGCGGAGGGGGGCAGGCAGCAGACAGATGGAGCGTGGTCCGCACTCACAGACAGTTAAGTGATTACAAAAGAGAGAAAGGATAGACTGCAGCACGAGAGAACTGCATATCCACCCATTACACTCAGCAGGATTTCAGAGAGAGAACAGAGTGCTGGTAAAAATACCATTCAGCCTAATGAGAAACTGTAGAACAGACTCAGTTTACATCACAATAACCACATTTAGAGTCGGTTATTCATTCAGCCTAATGAGAAACTGTAGAACAGACTCGGTTTATATCACAATACCTACATTTAGAGTCAGTTATTCATTCAGCCTAATGAGAAACTGTAGAACAGACTCGGTTTATATCACAATACCTACATTTAGAGTCAGTTATTCATTCAGCCTAATGAGAAACTGTAGAACAGACTCGGTTTATATCACAATACCTACATTTAGAGTCAGTTATTCATTCAGCCTAATGAGAAACTGTAGAACAGACTCAGTTTATATCACAATACCTACATTTAGTCAGTTAGCCCAAAGCTTTGTTACACATTTGATCCACCAAAGCTGAAAATTTAGATGATGTTGTTCATTTTGTGTCACAAGCAGCCCTTTTGGTGTGTCAGGTTTATGTGGTTAAACTTCAAGCATTATGTAGCAGCTGTGAGTTCCAGCCTAAAATAATTAGGTTAAATGAGATGTTTTCTGTCAAGCTTGTCCAACCTAGCAACAGTTACTATGAAAGAATGCATTATTAGGTGGAGCATGCATGGATCAGTTGTGCACCCCATCGAAAAGCGCTGTGGCTGTCAGCTTTGGCCGTTAATCTTGACTTTCAGCAGCCTGTAGATACAGAAAGTGTCTGTGTTAAGTTCACACTCAGCTCCAGCCTGACTCTCACTGAGAGTTACCATGGAGATAACCAGGAGTAGCACTGGAATCCTCACAGAGAGAGAGAGAGAGAGAGAGAGAGAGAGAGGACAAACAGAGAGGGGGGGGGTGAGAGGACAAACAGAATGAGAGAAAGGACAAACAGAGAGAGAGAGAGAGAGAGAGAGAGAGAGAGAGGAAAAGAAAGAGAAAGAGACAGTGAGAGAGAGAAAGAGAGAGAAGACAAACAGAGACAGAGCAAGAGAGTGTGTGAGAAAGAGCACAAACGGAGAGAGAAGGAGCTAATGACCAAGAGAGAGGACAGAGAGAGAGACAGTGAGAGAGAGAGAGAGAAAGAGAGGACAAGCAGAGAGAAAGAAGGAGAAAGACAGAGAGAGGGAGAAACAAAGTTAGAGAGGGAGAAAGCAGAGAGAGTGAGAGAGAGAGAGTGAGAAAGAGAGAGAGACAGGGAGAAACAAAGAGAGAGAGAACAAACAGAGAGAGAGAGAGAATGAGAGAAACAGAGAGAGAGAGAGAAAAGAGCACACGAGAGAGAGAAACAGGAGAAAGAGAGTAAAAGAGAAAGAGAGAGGGGGAGAGAAACAGAGATAGGAGAAAAAGGAGTGTGTGTGTGTCTGTGTGTGTGTCTGTGTGTGTGTGTGTGTGTGTGTGTGTGTGTGTGTGTGTGTGTGTGTGTGTGTGTTTTGCACATACCGTTAATCTCTGCAGTTTCTGGCTGCTGAAAGTCGTGATTAATGAGCAGCTGTGAGGCGCTGGGCTTTTGGGCACAGTGTATAATTAACAGAGGTTTTTAAGAGAAATAGAGGTTCTGGCTTATATACGCTTTAAAAGATGTGATAGCTTAGAATTCTGTAGGCCAGCATTTCAGCTTTCAAACAGGCACCTCTCTTTGAGTCAGTTTGGCTTGAAAGAAAGAGAAGAAATCATGATTTGAGTCTCACACTTTCACCAACACGTCCTCACAGGAGAAACTCATCCGTGAAGTGGAGAACAGGAGCGATCTGTACAGTATGTGGGGAAAAAATAAGAGTTATCTGTGTCTCAGACGGCTTAGAATAAAACACACAATAGAATATTAAAGCAATAAGCTCCAGCAGCACTGCTGTGTCTGATCCACTCGTACCAGCACAACACACACTAACACACCACCACCACGTCAGTGTTACTGCAGTGCTGAGAATGCTCCACCACCCAAATAGTACCTGCTCTGTGAGGGTCCATGGGGGTCCTGACCATTGAAGAACAGGGTAAAAGGGGGCTAACAAAGTATCAGAGAAACAGATGGACTACAGTCTGTAACTGTAGAACTACAAAGAGCACCTATATAGTAAGTGGAGCTGATAAAATGGACAATGAGTGTAGAAACAGGGAGGTGGTCATAATGTTATGCCTGATCGGTGTATAATTACATAAATTGACCGATGTGTAATTACATTGTTTAGCCACATCATTATCCCACTTAAGTAAGTTGGTTAGCCAAATGGCTGATGTTTTCTATGTTTTCTTTTGAATGGTCATTCACACAACAGCCTAAAATATCCTAATAAAACAGGTTTATATGCTGATGAGTTATTGTGGTTATGATGAGTCTGGAGCTCTCAGTTGATGGGCCTGTGGTTTGTTTACGTTTTGGCTTGACGTTTCCGGTGTAGACATCCTGAAGGCTCTGTGACCTGATGTGATACTGCGTTTCAACACTTGCCTGCTGTTAGAACAGACAGATACAGACAGCTCGGACTGTTAGACACAGTATCACACGTTAAACAGACTACTTTCTTTTTTTAAAAAACAAGTTGTCAGCATGGCTCGGTGTGCATAAACATGAAATGTTGATTAATCTCGCTGTTTAGGTGTGCGTGCTTGTTTGTTTTTCTTTATGCGTTACTGTTGTGAAGAGGGTGGAGGGGGGTGGGGGGGGGGTGTTCTCCAAAGACTCTTGTGCTCGGAAACCTCAAAAGATCGTAATCTGTCCCTGAATAAATGTTTCTATCAAACGCTATATGTGTGCTAATCTCTCTCTTTATATATCTTTTTCTCTCCCCCCTCTTTCTCTCGCAAATCTGTATTATACCTCTCTCTCCCTCTCTATCTCTCCTATATATGTCTCTCTCTCTCCCTCTCTCTCTTATGTCTCTTTCTTTCCCTCTCTTTCTTATCTCTCCTATCTATGTCTCTCTCCCCCTCTTCTGTTTCTCCTATGTCTCTCTCTCTCATCTGTCTCCTATCTATGTCTCTCTCTCTCTTATGTCTGTCTCTCTCTCCCTCTCTCTCTCTTATCTCTCTCCTATCTATGTCTCCCTCTCCCTCGCTCTTATCTTTTTCCTATCTATCTCTCTTTCTCTCTCTCTCTGTCCTATCTATGCCTCTCTCTCTCTCTGTCCTATCTATCTCTCTCTCTCTCTCCCTCTGTCTCTGTCCTATCTATGTCTCTTTCTCCTCTTTCTCTCCCTCTATCTCTCTTATTTCTCTTTTTCTCTCCCTCTCTCTCTCTCTGCAGTGTGGTAGTCGTGGGGAGTTGCTGGTGTCTCTGTCCTATCAGCCTGCCACTCACAGACTGAACGTTGTGGTGCTGAAAGCCAAACACCTGCCCACTATGGACATCACCAGCCTGCCGGGCAGTGAGTACACACACACACACACAGAGTTCCCCCTCAGACACACTGACCCCAATAACCCGCTCATGCATTAGAGCAGTGGTGGCCCACACAATATTTTTCCCAAAGCACAACTTCAGTCTCACAGAGAGCTTTTTAGGTCTTTAATAGCTGAAAATACATTAGCTGATAATATATTAGCTCCATTTAACATCATGTTTTGAATGCTGGAATGAACTTTATTTTCGTCTTTGTGGTGAACAAACACGTCCACATTTACAACAGTGTGTTTAATTGTGTTTAAATGCTGTTTGTTTATTGTGCCTGTTGTGCAGGATTGTTTGATATCTAGAAAGCTGCAGTTTTGAATTTTATCTCAGCACGGCCGTCTTTTTGGAGAGGTGTGAATAGTTTTCACAGCAGAGAGTTCTCATCCCTCCCCTTTCCCATCATTGCTCACTAGCAGCTCAACACAGAGTCACGACATTTCACACACAGACAGCTTTCAAAATGAATCCAGTGAAGTTACTTATCTGACTGAAATAATTTTTTATTAACAAACATAGGGTCATTTTTTATTAACTAAAGGGGAAACTAATGTTTTATGGAAAAATATATGTTCAGCTCTTTTTGGTGAGCTGAGCCGGTTCATCTGACTCACTGAGAAGAGCCGGAATGCTTAGCAGTAGTGACAGAGCTGATTTATAAGAAGCCTGGCCACTTTCGCTAGTTATATCAAAAAACATTACTGCAAAACAGCAGAGGGCGCCTGCGAGCGAGTCCTCAATGAAAGGGAGTAAATGGACCTCAACGGCTAAAAACAAAAGGTTTCTAATCACTCGTCCTTTCATTTTAGAAAGTAGAAGGATGTATTTCACTAAAAAAGCAAAGAACACTTACCTGTATGTTTCCTTTTTTCTACAGCAAATGGGTTTTGGGCAGCAGGACGGTGGCATTGCTGCTACTGAGTGCTGATTGGTTGGCGAGTGGAGCAGCTCATTGGTCATTCATGCTCACTGACGTCATAAGCGTACATGAGAGGCCATTTTAAACTCCTGTAACTCAAGTTCAAAAGCTCTTAAAAATATAACAGCAGTGTTGATGTTTTATGCTGTTCTGTGATCAGGAAATAATTGTATTCTTTTATATTAAAAATGTTTGAGCATTTATAAACTATTATTTTGCTCAAATGCTACATCTTAACCCATTCATTTTGGACTCGCTCGGGAGCGCCCTCTAGCATCTGAGAAACCCGGAAAACATTAGGGAGTGGGAATTTTTCTCTCTACAAGTTGTCTGGTAGTGAACGCGAACAGCCAATGAGCTGATCTGCTCGCCAACCAATCAGCACTCAGTAGCCAGAAAACCAAAACAAAAAAAAGATAGAAATGTGCTGATATATTTTCAGTGTTTTCTTTAAGTAGTACATTTTTCTACTTCCTAAATTTAGAGGAAAATCCTGCGTGAAAGGATTGTTAGATGTTTAGCCCCTTTTACCCCCCTTCAGTAAGGACTCACACTTAGTGTTCTTTTAGTATAATGGGAGAAATAGGAAGTGGCCAGGCTCCTCATAAACTGATACTGGTGGAGCTTCACGTGTCCCAGGCGAAGCTTCAGGGTAGTGAGAGACCCAAATAGCAGATGGGAAATGGCCACGACTGGACTGGGGAGAAGTTAAAAATCCCAAAAAATAAGATATGTTAATATTTTTACATTGGGTGCACCTAAAGCCTCCGCTTTGAAAACAGTGCTGCAGTGAGTTGACTTGATTCAGTTGTGCACATCTTTTCCAAATGAATAAAATAAAAATAACACACAGAGTCATTTGAAGTACGGAAACACAACGCAGAACGTTGGAGAGTATAAACCCGTCTCACTCCTGTCTCTCTCCTCTCCCCCGGCAGACCCGTACGTGAAGGTGAACGTGTTTTACGGCCGAAGGCGCATCGCTAAGAAGAAGACTCACGTGAAGAAGTGCACGCTGAACCCCGTCTTCAACGAGTCCTTCATCTACGACGTCCCCGCAGAGCTCATGCCTGACATCTCCATAGAGTTCCTGCTCATCGACTTCGACCGCACCACCAAGAACGAGGTGGTGGGCCGGCTGGTCCTGGGCGGCCAGAGCCCCACCCCGTCAGGCGTCACGCACTGGAGGGAAGTGTGCGATAACCCACGGCGGCAGATCGCCAAGTGGCACAACCTGGCAGAGTACTAACAGAGAACACCATCACTTTCCTCCTTCTTTTGATCTGCTAGAGCAGAGGACCTCAACTCTGGTCCTGAGTATCTGCACATTTTAGTGTTTTTCCCGCTCTAACAGACCTGATCTGACTCATGAAAGGCCTGTTAAAGGGATAGTTTGGCCAAAAGTCAATGTAGTTGATCAGCCAAGACATTTTTCGTGTCTGAAGTTTGCTTCTTTATTTTTGCCCTGGAGTTACAAGGCTAATGTAGCCAAAAAGTCGTGGAAGCTCATACCCCACCAATTAGCATCAAACTGCAGAGCTAAATCATCCCACACTCGTCCCAAACTGTGTTAAGTGTGTTATGTGTTAAGTAATCTATAATAGACTTTCTTAAGTGCTTTCCAACACTAACACGGATACACTGATCATGAATTTTTTTAAAACCCAAAACTAACACTCTGTGGGCTAAATGAATGTATGAAACACACTAGCAAATTTCCAGCACTTTCTATTAGCCCAAGTTACAATATTTTACTCTTTAATGAGCCAAACTAGAATTTGCAGTTTCTTTTTAAAGCTACACTATGTCCGTTTTTGGGGATTTGGAGACCTCTCTGGTAGAAATGTGCAATTACATGGAAAAATGCGGTTTGTGCTCTGGACCCTTCCCCAGAGTGGATGAGTCTGATTTTTGTGAGTGCGTTGAAAGACCATTCAAAGAGAACTACTCTGTCAAAACTTGTCAAAGAACGTATCTCGGATTTTCAAATTTAGCTTGTTTTTTCTCCTGACTCAGTAATGCTACTTCTTTACATTTTAACAATGACGATTCAGGCACGCAGTTAGCACCATGCTAATCGGTTTGCTACAAGCTTTCATTACTTGTTAGCTACATTAGCCTCATAGCTCCAGTGCAAAACTAAAGCCAAACGTCAATTCTGGGCTGATTTGCTACATTTAGGATACGAGCAAAACTGTGTATGTTTGGTTTTTGGCCTAACTATCACTTTAATGAGCTGTTGGCCTAACTATCACTTTAATGAGCAGTTGGAGCAGGTAGGAAAAACACAAAAATATGTAGGACAGTGGTGCTCCGGAGATAAAAACCCAGATTACAAACCCCCCTCATCGCCTCATAGCCCGACATCAGCAGGTGTGTACATATACTGCACAGGACCATCTGCACTCAGTCAACGGCTGCTATGGAGCGGCCAATCAGAAAGGACTTTGGTGAATCGTTTGCAGAAAAAGAAGAAAATACTGACTGATCGCAAAATATTTATGTGAGTAAATCATATCAATAAGAGACTGTGTGCGGTTCTGGTTTTAACCAGTTACTAAGAAGAGGGAGCTGATGTTATGTAAAGAAGCTGCACCTATACTGATTCAGAGTTCAGTCCTCTTACCACCCTGAAATAAAGCAACGCGCTGAACTTACATCATTCATACGTGTACATATTTCCACATGGATATAACATCCTTGAAACGTATGGAATCACTCGTCATATTAATAACTGTTGTTCAGTTATAACCTCTACACTGCAAAAACATGAACTGATGCTTTATTCACAGTTTAAAGTGGGAACATCAGGAAGCCACGACATGGTAAAGAAAAATAGCAGATGTTTTTATATAACGGACTGTAATTATCTATTTGATGTGGAGAACCAATCTGGATATTAATTATTTCGTAAATTTATCTGATGTTATAAAGCTCAGTTATTATCGACTCTTCTACAGCCCCATTCATCATTAACACCATTATCTTTATACGTATATTTACATATCGCTGTTGTCGGAACAAAACCTTGTATCTCCAAAATGGTAACTTTACAGGAGAAGGAAAAAACATACTTTACTTTTAATGTAAGTCAGTGGAACCAGAATTTTTTCCAAGTCATTTTGGGTCATTTCTTTAAGTCCATTCATCATGAAATTTACACATAATGTAAAGACTAACAGGCATTTTCAAATCATATCAAAAACTGGAAAATGTCAAAAATGAAGATACAAGCTTTTCTTCCAACAGCAGCGATATATTTTTAAAAACGTGTCAAGTTTTTAATATGTTTACTTATTTTTAACATATATGTAATTATTAAAAATTGACACTACACATATTTCGTCCACATATTTGCATACATATGTATTTCAACATATTGATGCATGTATGCATATATTGCCACGTATTTACATATTAAAAAATGGCACGTAAATATATATCACCTACATTTTTAGTATGAGCAAATATATGTATATATGTTTTTCTTCCACATGGATACAACTTTCTACAAATGTGCTGAAACGCCAAAGTTGAGCATCATATTATAAATATATGACTGAAAACAGTGATTCCAAGCGTTCGAATGGTAGTTAATGACATCAACACGGCTTCTTCACTCAGTTTTCTTACTTTTGCCAGCAGCTGTGTTGACGTAGTGTATTTTATTTGTGTGGAACTGATGTACGTGTTGGAATGAAGTCAGTTCTGTTCATACGTTTATTTCAGGTCCATTTACAACCCACTCTGTTTCGCTGCATGCCAGAATGAGCAATGACAAGCTTTTTTTTTTGTTGGTTGGGTAGAAAAATGGATGTTTAAGAACAAAACAGCCCCCCGACTCACCGTAGTTACTGATTTAAAACATATCACTTTGCTTAAGCTAATGCTAACATTAATCAGAGCTGACTGCTTTGAGGGAAGAAGTGTTGATAAATTTGCAGGAGCAATGAAAACAGTTCGATCCATCCAGACTGAATGCGTCTCTTTGGATGAACTAGCTACTAGAATTCATTGCTAGAAGGCAAAGGAAAATAATACCTGCTAGTAATCTTGTGTCATATCTTTGTGCTTGTCTGAGTCTTTCCACCAATTTTATACCAAAATTTCTCAAAATTTGATATAATGACTGAAACTTAGAGGGAAAGTGTATTTCTTTCTTTTTTTCTTTTTTTTTTTTTGTTATACTTTTTTGTGGATGAGCAAAATGTTGAATATAAAAGAGAACAACAAAGAGAACACGGTTATCCAAGTGCACTGATGAGAATGCATAACTCGCAGTGCCTCACCATGCACGTTGTCATGGCAACTTTATCATCCGGTATATTAAAAGCAGCAGTCTGGCAAAGACTGATACATACAGGATTCATTCAACGCCACTTTTAATGGCACTGTTTTTTTGGCTGTTTCAGTTTCCCCCCTAAAGCAGCTTCACAGGTAGATTTCAGTCGAGATCACTCGCTTCTGAAGCTCCTTCATCGTCTGTGCTCAGCTTCTCTCGGCTGGTCGCGGTAATACGCTGGAGAGATGAGTGTGATACGGCTGCGAGTTTCACTGCTGCGAATTCCCACTCCGCTTTTTATAATAGGAACTGGAAAGTGGGTAAAGTTGGACTTCAGTTTATATGAAACTTTTCAAATAGTTTGATGAAGTCACTCCAGGTGAATGTTTACATTATTCAACACCGTTGAGGCTGTTTAACCCCTTAAACTGCAGGCTTATCATTCAGTGAACACTACATTTTTTAAGCATCTACTCAATTATTCAGTATCTACTATGAATTATTCAGTAGGGACTTACATATCAGTACATATAATGAATGAGTACTGTGAACTATTCAGCAGTGGCTGCAATGGATTATTCAGGGGTAAATATGAATTATTCAGTATCTGCTATGAATTATTCAGTAGCCACAATTATAGCATTGCTCAGTATCGACCAACCACTAATTTGTTCAATATCTACTATCAATTATTCAGTAGCTACAATGAATTATTCAGTACATACTATTACTTATTAAGCATATTACTATAAATAATCCAGTAACTATTGTCAATTATTCAGTACCTGATGTGTGCCCCCCTCCCCCGCCCTTGCAGACCCGTAGGGGCTTAATTTTGGTAAACTGACAACACATTTTAACCTTGTACATGGTCAGGAGCTGTCAGTGGGTCTAAGCTTCTTTTAAGGACTAACTCAGTTAGTTTGCTGTGCTTTTCATATAGATACTGAATCATAATCCCTATTATACAACAGTTAGTTCTGACCACGCAAGCTGATTGGTTGAGAAGTGTTCTAACCGTGCTGTTATTTCACCATAACAACACTTTTTTTTCACAAACACTGTATCACTCCACTGAGACGCCGTTGCTAAGCAACGACTTTGACAGCTGTAGGAGTCGCTCAAGCCATTTGAACGTTTTTACTTCTTACTTTGCCACAAACAGAAAATGGATACTTTTAAGATCACATTTGACCGACAGCCGATTTGGTCAGACTCTGAAGATGAGACGACACTAAATTCCCAAACTGTCGTCACCACTGAGCAGCTTTTCAGTCGGCAGCTGTGACAGAAGAACAGCTAAACAACCTGGAATCAGCCAGAAATGAACTCAACACCATTCGCCAAACTAAATGGGCTGTAAGATGCTTTACAGACTGGCTGGAACAAAACAACATTAATACTGATCTGGCAAAAACTGACAACACTGAGCTGAACTTGATATTGTGGCAGTTTTATGGCTCAGTCTGATTTGGTCAGACTCTGAAGATCAGACTACACGTTTGGAGAATGGTATTGGGTTCATTTCTGGCTGATTCCAGGTTGTTTAGCTATTCTTCTGTCACAGCTGCCGACTGAAAAGCTGCTCAGTGGTGACAGTTTGGGAATTTAGTGTGAGGAGCTGGAGAACGAACTGCCGGCTGTGCAGCGAGTGGGCGGAGTTCGTTACTCTGACGCAGCAACAAGCTGCTTGTTAAGGAACTATAATTTGGCAGAAGGAACTGCGAACATTAAAACATATTAAATTCTGCGTTCATGGCCCAGTTTATTAATTTATTACTTTATTTATTTAACTGTTGTATAAAAGCAAGAGAACACTCAAGGTCGTGTCTATCTACGGTTATTTCGCGATAACACACTCCCTCTCGTGTTCTAACGCTTAAGTATGTAATAAGCCTGGGATTTTAAAGGGTTGAGATGCGGAAATGACACTATTAACACCACCCAGATGTGACAAAGTTTTAAATGAATGACATAAAAAGTCAAACTTTTAATCAGAGCCTGTTCGCACGCCACATTAAATTCAGCTGTGCTCTTTAAACAGGGCGTACTGAGGGCAGTGGGTTGTTGAAAATTGTAGTTTAATTCTTTCTTATATAAAACACTGAAGCCCTATCACATCACTCTCCGGTCGGCTCCACAGTCCGGAGCCAGACGCCAGCACGCCACTCACGACAAAGCAGGACAAATAGTAAAGATCAGTGGGTGACTTTTAGAAAGGAGTGAAAGAAACAGAGCATGCAAATGTCAGTCTGAGCAGAATCTGAGCTGCATTACAGCCCACATTTCCACTCAGTCATGTTGTACATAGTGATTTTAAACTGAAGAAAGTGGCGCATTGAATTCACTTGATTCATTATTTCCACATGAATGCAAATCAACATTAAGTTTACTTACATTTGGTAATATTTGTGTTGATGTGGTAGATTTTATTAATGTGGAAATAATGGACACAGATTCAGCGCTCAGTGTATTTAGCATCCCTCCAAATTCCACTTCTTTATTGCTGGTTAAGTGTGGATGATGCTTGTCTTTTTGAGGAATTCTCTCTCTTTGCCCGCTTTTCTTATTCCTTGTAGCAAAAATGTACAAAATGTATCATAAGAGGCTCGCATTTATGTAGCCTTCGGCTTTGTTTTTCTTACAAAACCTACACGGCTCTATAGATTCACCCTTAGAGTGAGCGTTCAAACAACACTGAAGCTCATATAATGCACCTAGCTTCTATAATCCCCATCCTCAATTCTGAAAATACTGATTAGAACGCGGTGAGAAATATGCAGACTTAGGCAAATATTTGCACTTTTTAAAGCTCTTTTTTATTTTCATTACTGAAAAGAATATATGGAGGGAACCAAATAGCTGTGATGAGACCCGTAACGAAGCCAAACTGGACTTTTGCACACGATAAATACTGCTGTCCCATAAAAGAAGCCAATAAAATGTGCTTTAACTGCTGTATATCATTACGAGAGGCACAAACTGAACTAAACCCTTAGAGTTCTAGCTATTACTGTCAGTCTGTTAGACTATTTAATTATCAAAATGTAATCACATAATTGCATAATGAGTTACATTTACAGTCTTACGCAAAGGTTGAGATGTATTGTTGATTTTCTAAGTGAAAATAAATGTGTCTGCAGAGAACTTTTTGAGTTCAGGTAAAAAATGTAAAGTTCACTGAACTTCAAATGCGTTAACACAGTGTAAAACACATATTATTGCTCTGTCAGCTTAATATTAGAAGTGCAGTAACTTCAGATTTTTAAGCCAACCAGGTTATTTGCTTTTTTAAGCTAAAACATTGAATCATTTTTTACAGTGTAGATGATGTGTTAACTTATTTTTAGTTAGAAAATCAACAAGACGTGTCAGTGGAGGGGCGCCAAAACTTCTGCACAAGCCCATGCGGTCTGTATTGACAGTTTCAAGTCATAAATACAAAAAAATAAAATCAAATATCTTCTTTTCTACTCACAAAAACAAATATGGGAGGGATTGAAAGTTCAGAATCCGCACTTTCCCTGCCATTCCTCTACTTGATTCAATGAGCTGTGATTAGGAATTATTCATATAAAACTCCAGCATGTTTTTTGTTATGGCTGGTGATTGCTGAGCCTTCTAGGGGTTACAGCAGTGCTGATTGTGATGGAGCACTAAACTCATCTGCTCCCACACAGCGCGCCGCACACCCCCTCTCCCCCCTCGGCCCCCCGTGGGCCCTTAGCTAACACAGACGGCCCAAAGAGGGTCAGACCTGAGGGAGGGAGTGTGTGTGCTAGCGAGTGAGTGAGCGAGAGAGAGAGAATGTGTGCTTTCCAATGATGTCACTCAGGCAGCACTGAGCCCCGGAGGCAGATTCACATGTCCTTACTCATTCCCTGTGTGACTGAGTTCACAGCACTGAGTGAGTGGTCGAGAGGAGAGAGAGAGTGAGAGAGAGAGAGAGGGAAGCAGCTTAGGCAAGAATCAGCTCATATCTGTGCTTGTTAAATGTGTGTTCACACTAATTACACCTAATTTTTGGTCTGTCCGCTGGAACTTTAACCCATTGATGTCCACATCTCAAATGTTGGGGTCCTTATCTGCACAAATCTGAAAAAAGTTTTCGAATCGAATTAAAATTCTGGCTATAATGTGAGTTGTTATCTATTAATTTATCATTAAATTCAGTCTTTTGATCACTGTTTAAAAAAAAACGGTACAAATCCAAATTTGATTGTGAATAAAAATATGAAAAAGTCTTAATTGAATACTGTTAGATGTTCATTCAAGTTGTTACTATCAAATTATTACTATCAGAACAAGTTTTGTGGCATTTTGCCTTAATGGTTGGGCATGAATAGGTTAAATGCATTCATGTTAAAGGGAAAGTCCACTGATTTTTCAAAATATCTGCATAATTCAGTGTTTGAGATGTAAACGGAGTCATTCAGAGTGGTTCAGTGTGAAATGGTTGATTGTAGAGACTTTTTCAGTGGTGTCTTTGCAGTGGTGGCGATAGGAACCAGGGGTCGCCATGATTTAGGCTCAGGCATCAAACATCTCAGGCATCAGACATCATATTCATAACTATTTCATGTAATAACTTTCAGTGAGGGAGCTTTTAGAGGTGGACGTCTGGTTCCCATCACCACCACTGTGAACTTTGCAGATCTGTGACTTTGCTTGCATTTTAACTGTTTAATTATGCAGAAATTCTGAAAAAATGGTGGGATTCCCCTTTGAGTAGCTAATTGCCTGTCTGTTGATTGAAATGTCTTCAAGTGGTACTTTTCTTTCTCTCTCTGCTATCAGGCAAAATGAGGAATCGTGAATAAATCATTAACTTCTACATCATCAGAATCAAATTGATTCAAAATATACTTGAACATGTAGTAGGAATTTGTCTTGATGTTTGGTCCATTCAACACAATTTACATTCATATATGGCACCTTATATTCAGTACATTCAGTTTCTTGTAGATATAACATGGTTAATGCACTGAAAACAGTCATGCTTTGAATTTTCTTGATTCAAATGTGTAAATTATGCAGCACAGTTTTGTCTCAGTTAATTTCGGCAGAAACTGTGCTTTTATTCATGTGGAAACAAGCAATTTCAATGCATTATTATTGTTTTTCAGTGGCTTTTTTTATCAAATAGCCACGCTGTAATGCTATATTGACTGAAATCAAATCTCTAAAGACTGAGTTGGTGTGTAATTACATTACCAGCAGTTTGGATGAAAGCTAATAGCACACAGAGCAAATGGAATAGTGCGTCCTAAAGTTTATATATTTTTTCTGCCTCTTTGGTCCTCCTCTGTTCTTGGGTGTACAAAAGCTTGTTTATATATAAATAATATAAATATGAACGGTTGTAAAGTATTGTTTGTCTCAATGCACTATAAGGCAGTAGCACTTTCTGCCCATATGTAACTTCTCCCTGAAAATGGTGATGGGTTATTTTGGTGTAAATCTTTCTTTTTATTTATTTAGTTTTTTTTTTATTGTTGCCTTTTGGAGGCCCATTTCCCCCCGCCCCCTCTTTCGCCCCCCTAAATCCAACCTCTCAGTTCTTTGCTGTTGTGTGTTGTACAATAAATTGAGGTGCAAAGAAAAAAAAAAAGAAAACAAAACATGTAACCGTATTATCGGCCCAACTGGACGATGCAGAGTCGGTACGTTTTGTGTGGAGGAAAACTGCTTTTGAGGACACGTAATGTGCATAATGCTGTTATAGGTCTATGCTAAACATGTTACACTAATGCTGACTTGTACTGTATGTTGATATTTGTTAACACAATGAACGTACAAAATAAAATGAAAAATTGACCCACTAGATCTGACACCTCTGCTTTCTGCCTGCAGATACAGCCCCAGGTCCCACCTCCAGAACAGGAAAACACCCACTTCAACTCAGGAGGAGCTTCTTAATGAGCTGGAAGGGGTTTTTTTCTCAAAAGCAATATAGAATTCGTTGTTAAAGGGGAATTCCTTCCATTTTTTTTTAAATTGCTATATAATTAAATGGTTAAAATGTAAACAGAGTCACTCAGAGTGGTTTTTAGTGAAATGCTCTGCTCTGGAGAAACGTACAGAGTCAGAATTGTTCACAGTGGTGGTGATAGGAACCAGACATCCACCTCTAAAGGCTCCCTCGCAGACAGTTATTACATGAAATGGTCACGATTATGCTGCCTGATGTTTGAGACCCTGTTTATGATACTTCATTCAACATTTTGGCCAAAAACATATTTTTTTATTTACTATCCAAAACCACCAGTGAACCTACACCTGTCTTCTGAGTTTATATATGGAATGGAATGTAAAACAGTGAAAAATCTGAATCTTCTTTTGGGGACTAGTTTGCTTCACAACACCCTGCATGTATCCCTCCACCTTGAATAGGTTTTAAAAATAAGTTTCAGGCCAAAACCTTCTAAAAACCATCGTAAAACAATGTCTCAGGCATCAGACATCATAACCATTTCATGTAACAACTTTCTGTGAGGGAGCTTTTAGAGGTGGACGTCTGGTTCCCATCACCACCACTGTGAACTTTGCAGATCTGTGACTTTGCTTACATCTTAAGTGTTGAATTATGCAGAAATTCAGAAAAAATGGTGGAATTCCCCTTTGAGTAGCTATTCGTCTGTCTGTTGATTTTCTGTTCACAGTGGTGCTGGTAGGAACCAGACGTCCACCTCTAAAAGCTCCCTCACAGAAAGCTGTTACATGAAATGGTCACGAATACGCTGCCTGATGTTGGAGACCCAGTTTATGATACTTTCAAGAACATTTTAGCCAAAACATATATTTTTTTCCAATTGTCTTCCTAATTTAGTCGTATCCAATTCCCCCCACTGGTTAGGACTCCCCCAATCACTCGATACCACCAGCACTAGGAGGGTGAGGGCAAACACAAGCTTCCTCCAAGTCATGTGAAGCACCACCACATCTTTTCAAGCTGCCACTAATGCAATGTCATTGGACAGCTGAACACACTTGGAGAAGAGCGCTAACTGCGCTCTGTTGTGTCAGCTGTTCTGGGGTGTGATGGGAGAGAGGGACGGCCATCCTACCCACTCAGAGAGAGCGAGGCCTATTGTGCTGTCTTAGACTCCCAGCCAGTGATGGCTGTAGCATCACCGGGGATCAAATTTGAACCCTACTCATCATGGAGGGTGTTGTGAGACAAAGTATTCCCCAAAGAAAACTTATTTCAGATTTATCACTTTTTACCATCATCAACATTCCATATAAAAACTCTGAAGACTCGTGTAGGTTCACTGCTGGTTTTGGATAGTAAATAAAATGGCTGTATTTGTGTTGTGGTCATGGCGACCCCTGGTTCCAATCACCACCACTGTAAAGAGATCTGAGTCTCTACAATCAACCATTTCACACCAAACCACTCTGAATTACAGCAAAATTCCCCTTTAAATGGTAGAGTTGGGGGCACTCAATGTGAAAAACAGGCTACATGAACCCGAATTAAACTTTAGTTCATTTTCAGTATATTGTAATCACTTTTATCAGGATAGACAATATAACTTTAAAGGACTCTTATCGTCGAAAACTGATTTTTTTCCCACTTATTTTGGAAATTGGTAAAGATTTAAAGCATACTGTTAACTCTTTAGTCCATACCGTCCATATGTGGAATCTAAGCAGCAAAAACAGCCCATTTCAAATTACCTCAATGTTTTTGTGACGTCACTGCTTCTTCAATAAGGCATAGTGCACAGCAGCCAACCAGAAGAGAGATCATTTACATATGTCAGTCGACTGACAACAGCTTGTTTGGTACTAAAGGATAAAGAGGGGTTGGAAAATGATCATGTAAAAATTAAGGGCTAAAGTGTTAGACTGGAACACCGAAGCTGTTTTAAACATTGTACCCTTTAATGTTAAATGTTCTTTTTTAAAAATGAAAATGGACACTAACACATTAACTTAAAGCACTTTCTCGGTCACTCTTTGTTTTTGCTGTATTAAAATTTGTGAATCGTTACGTCTCCAATATTAACATGTAGTTACCATCTGGACTGGCTTCTAATAATACTGAATTTATAACAATAACTATATTCTCTGCTTCCGTTCGGTCGAAAACCAAAACATTGTAAAACAGGTGCACTGGCTCGTCTTCTGTTCTTCTGGACGAGCTCGTCTGTTTCACTCGCTACCAAAGAACCTCATAATTCAGAATGCAGTGACCCTCGGGGGAACAATGTACACAGCTCAAATCATATCATCCTTGAGGCATTTCTGTTTATCACAGCAGCGATTTTCGTTAACGGCATTCATTTTTGTCACAGAGTAAAGCAGCTCAGACCTGGAGGTCCTAATATGGTCATAACGCCAGCAACACCACCTCAGAGGTCTAGTTAGCAGTCAAAAAAGGGCCAACTTATCGTGTTTTCTGACCTCAAACAGAGCACACACACTTAAAAAGATGGTTCTTCAAGAGTTCCTTAGTAAAGGGCATTGTTTTATTTAGAACCATGAGTTCTATACAGAACCATTCATGCTTAAAAGTGTCTTTGCATGGTGAAATGGTTCTTCAGAGTGATGGGGAATGTGTTTCATACGGTTTTATATAGAGCCTTTTTGAGAATGGTTCTTTTAAAAGTAGAAGAGCACTTCTGGGAACTCTTGAAGAACCATCTTTTTTAGAGTGTAGAAGAACACGAAGGTGGAAAGTAGGAAGTTTTCCGACTTCCCAGTTTGTTGTCATGAATTCAGCAGCCAAGGCCCTGACCTGAACCCCACTGGCTCTAGGACCCAGCGGCAGCGCTGCCTCCTTCATGGGGCTGAATGTGTTTACAGTGGGTGAGAATGAAGCTTTAGGAATTTACCTTTTTTATTAATCCTCCTTCAAAATGATCAGCAGCTTTGATACTAAGGGAGCGATGAAGACGGACATACTGTGACCGAGGTGAGCAGTTTTGTTCGTTCTGTTTTCTATTCTATTTTAATGTGTAGCTGCAACAACAAGAGTCCAACTACTGACTCGTTGTTTGCAAAAAAAAAAAAAGTGTTGGAAATTTTTGTTTTTGGCAAAGCTGTCCTTTTTTGGCGCACCTGGAGCAAATCCCCTCCCCGCTCCCTTGCATCTTTATGGTGAGGGGTTTGCAGTCTGGGCTGTAAACTTAGTCTGGGCTGTTGCTGAAACACTTTTTTTGAGTTTTTGATCGCCTTTGCTATCAAAAAGCTCCTTGTTTCGAAGTTTCCCGGTCCACCTTAAATGGTGCAGCAATTGCAGTGTTACTGCTGTACCATTTAAGGTGGAACGGCGAATAGGAAGCCCAATTCAGCCTCGTTTTGAGCCCTCAGGTTTTTTTTTACTCTGTTTGTCTGAATTCTTTCTCCAGCAGGACGAACAGCGTGCCGAATCTGTAAACCCCTGTCATAAAATAGCCTCGCTTTGTTAATAAGGCGTGCGGGTCTGTTGGATTTGCCAAACAATCGTGGCTCTCTTTCGCGGTGTGGTCACGATGCTGGTCCTGTGCTCGCAGCCTTTCATTGTATGTGAGCCTTTCTGTGTGTTTAGAGGCTTTTCAAAGTTTTTCCATTCACCTTTTCCAACTTATTTCAGTGTTATCGGCCGGCTAGTTCGTGCTTAGGCGCTCTTTTCCCTCAATCTGGCTACGTTGTTGTAACATTATGCGCTGAAAGTGCTGCTCTCAAACGGCAAGCTGCTTATTTGAGCGTCCATCCACAGAGTTGATCCTGAACGAGGCCTAAACTGACCAGTCCAGGATCTCTACTGCAAATTTAGGCCCAAATTGGGCATTTTAGCCGGGGAGAACTGACCAGACTGCTTTGCTATTCCTCTTACTTAACACGCCCTCTATAAATATCTGCCAGTAAAGCCATGCAGACCACACACACACACACACACACACACACACACACACACACACATATGTATATATAGAGATTATATATAACATTATATATTATATACGGAACATTAAAACCACCTCCTTGTATCTACACTCATTGTCCATTTGTTTAGCTCCACTGACCATATAGGAGCACCTTGTAGTTCTACAGTTACAGACTAGTCCATCTGTTTCTCTGCATACTTTGTTAGCCCACTTTCACCCTGTTCTTCAGTAGTCAGGACCACCATAGAGCAGGTATTATTTGGGTGGTGGATCATTCTCAGCATCTACTCTTCTGGGAGGGCTTTACACTAGACGTTGGAGCATTGCTGTGAGGATTTGATTGAGTGAGGTCAGGTACTGATGTTGAATGGATCACATTCATTACATTCATACCAAAGGTATTGGATGGAGCTCCATCACTTCAGTTCCACTGCTCCTCAGCCCAATGCTGGGGGCTTTATACCCCTCACCATGCCGTTGGTGACGTTAGGCTCATATGCAGCTGCTTCATGTCCCATTTAATTGATCAGTGCTTTTTTTCTTTAGAGATTATACAAGCTGTGTCAGCTGTGGATGCACCTTAAAGTAGCTGAACTCACTCATTAGAAGTACTGTCCGGATACTTTTCGACATTTAGCATAGACAGATGTACTTTTGGGGAAAAAATTGGCCGCAGGAGTAGCTCAAGAATGTGGTTCCTCATGGTTCACAAATACATAATTTACCCTTCACTAATTCCAAAATAACGTCAGGCAGGACACATATATTAGGGGAACCTAAAAAAGACTTAATAAAGCTTAAACCCTAGGCTTATTATTCAGCTATTAGGCCTAATATTATAACTTATTATTAATTAGCCACTTTTAAATATTTGGTATCAATCATGAATTATTTAGTTATTTAGTATCTACTATGAATTATTGAGTCACTACTTGTTCAGTGTCAACTTTTAATTATTCAGTATCTACTGTAAATTATTCAGTACCTGTTATGAATTATTCAATATCTGCTATGAAGCTGATGTGTATGTTGTGTAGTTATAAAAATGAGGTTAATTTTTGTAAAGCTGTCATACCTGCACAGCATAAACTTACTGAACTGACAAATGAGGAGTGTGTTTTTCAGCCTGGAAGACTGTGGGGAATGCAATAATTGTTTAAAGTGAAATGAAGGAATAATGGTTTTAGTGTTAATTATAAAGTAATGACACATCCCTGAAGGATCACATGAATTCATTATGCATGCCCTCAGCCAGGCTTACCTCATCCTCAGCTAAATTTAGTGATATTAAGCCCATCTTGGGTCCTTTAGGGTTGGAGTCCAGCACAGTTTCCCTAACACATCTGTTAAACCTGGTAACTCTATGGGTCTGTGTGTGGGTCCACACGCATTAGATGCATAGTAGATATTTAATAATTTGTAATAGATATGCAATAATTTGTTACTAAATAATTGATAGTAGATACCAAATAATTTATAGTAAATGCTGAATAATTCATAGTATGCACTAAATAGCTCAGAGGTGAAGAAGTCAAGAATTACCAAGAATGACATTTTGTTGTGCTGTTTAGATGTATTATTATACATGTAATCACACAATGAATTGCATTAATTTAGGTTTTTCACCGTTAAGAAAAAGCAGACAACCTATATTTAACAGAACATTACACAAATGTTCCCAACACTAAGTAGAACATCAGATCTTATAACACATTTCATTTGTGATAAAGAGAGGAGAAAATCAAGCTGCTTCAGATCTGAAAACATCCACAGGTGTTTCTGTCCATCCTTCCACTGTGAGTAGACGACTCAGCTGTGGGTCTGAAAGGATGTGTAGCTGTCAAGAGGCCTCACTGAGAAAAGGAGACAGACAATATACAAGAACACTGGCTCAAGAATACTCAACTGGACATCTGGGGTGTGGAGTGAGGTTTTATGGACTGATGAGTCTAAATTTGAGATCTGTGGAGGTAACAAGCAGTGAAAGACTCTTCAAACCATGTCTACAACCATCAGTCAAGCATGGTGGAGGGAAAATTTGTTTTTGAATGAAGGCCTGATGATGCAGTGCCTTCTGGAAAACGTTTGACTGAGAAGAAAATCATTTAAAGCAAGATAATGATCCCAAGCACACTGCTGAGAAGATGAAGACATACTTATTAAAACCAAGAAGCTGCCGGTGTTCTTAGAGCAACAGACTCACCAACCCAGAGTCCAGATCTCAATATCGCTGCATGTGTTTGGGATTACTTTAGAAAATGCTAAACCAACTTCTAAGGCTGAACTTTGGTGGCGTGTCTGCGGATTTCTTTGAGAAACTGAAAGTGGGTCTTCTGAAAAGAATGGAAGCTGCAAAGAAGGTAAAGAGTGACACAGTAAATACTGAAAAAAATATATTTAGTTGTTGGGGATTCTGCACTCTCAGAAATAAAGGTACTAAACTGTCACTGGGGTGGGACCCTCAAGGGTACATCTCAGTACCTTTAGTCAGGGAACATAACTGTACCATAATCCACTGAAATGATATTGTCTAAGTCATACTGACTCCACACACACCGTCTATTTTATTGTTCTGTTTTAAAACATTAGGTTATAAAAAGGTATAAATATATATTTTTCACCTGGAAAAACTTATTTAAGGTGCACAATTTGACATTAAAGCCACTGTTGTACCTTTGAGGGAACATTTACATTGCCTTGATGAACAAAAATGTACCTGCACAGAACCTTCATTACTAACAGTTTGTGTACTTTTCCGTTAAATATGTTTTCTGCCTTTTTTCCTGATGCTGGAAAATAAATAACTAAAAATGACCTAAACGAAGGATGGCATCTAACAAGGCTTGGTAGGTGTATGCAAGCATGGAAAACACCAGAATGTGCCAGAGCTGGACTCCTCTTAGAAACCAGGCCTCATATTTGTTTCAGTGGCATTGAATTCCCTCCAGATAGGTAGGTGTACGGTGATTTCAATGCCAGCCTTTCTGCATGACTTTTTACAACGTCAGTCAATAGCAGTGCTCAGTTCAGCGCTCTCATATTGATCCCCCACAGTGCTGCAGCAAATGCATGTTACTGTCAGTGGTTAATGTAGCAGCCGCCCAGTGGACGCATCACATTGTCACATGAATAGCTCGGCCAGATGAGTCACTTCCTCTTCTGCACCCAACTTTGCCTCTAGTGTCAACTGCACACACTCAGAATGTGCTAAAAAAGGACATGGTCACACATTACAGCCAACGCCATGGTGAAAAAAAAAAGTCCATGCAAGCTGCACTCATGATCATGACCACAACTGCACAATATTGACCTCTAAAAGTGATATTAGCGCTGCTGCAATACAGCCGAAACCTTCAACAAGAAAGGATAAAAACAGCCAGTGTAGGGCTCATGAACACCGAACAGTACTGATGAGTAAATCATGCTCCACACAATGTACAAATAAATCTAAACTACACCAGAACTGATTCAGACCGGTCTGTTTGGCACTCTTCCCCTCAAGGTCACACTGTAAATAGCCTTCCAGTAAAATATCTTTAAGCGCTCAGAGTGGCGCTGGATAGTTTTGGCCTTGGCTACTTTTTAGGGTCACAGACTGTAAGACTCTCACATTTTTCTTCCAAGGTCACTCAAAAAGATAGAATTAGATTCATAACATAGTTATTCATATGAACTGTGACATTAACTCCTTAAACTGCAGCTGTTAATCATATGTCTTATGAATTATGTAATTACTGTGAACTACTGTGAGGAGTTGCACTGAAGATTAGACCCACATACAGACCCTAAGGGGCGTATTGTTCAGTTGCCAGTATCTACTATCAATTATTTACTAACTACTATAAACTATTCACTATTACACTTTATTCAGTATCTACTATGAGTTATTCAGTAGCTGCTATTATTTTTTTCAGTATCCTTTCTGAGCTGTTCAGTGTCTGCCATAAAATATTTAGGAAGTACTATTAATTATTAAGTATCTACCAAAAGTATCTACCAAACTCCTATGAGTTATTCAGTCTTCTACATATTATTTAGTAACTAATATGAATTATTATGAATTCCTACTTTGAATTATTTACTATTTATAAGACATTATTTAGTCATTTCTATGAATTATTCAGTATCTACTATGAATTAAACTGTACATACAGTGAATTATATAGCAAATACCAAGTACATTTAGTATCTACAGTGAATTATTTAGTAACCACTATGAATTATTCAGTATCCACTATGAATTATTCAGTATCTACTATTAATTAAACCACACATACAGTGAATTACATAGCAAACACTGAGCATATCCAGTATCTACAATTATTTACTAATTAGTATGAATTATTCAGTATCCACTATGAATTATTCACTGCCTACAATACGTTATTCAGTAATTTCTTTGAATTATTCAGTATCTACTACGAATTAAACCGTACATACAGTGAATTATATAGCAAATGCTGAGTACAATCAGTATCTACAATTAATTATTTAGTAACCATTATGAATTATTCAGTATCTACTATAAATTAAACCATACATACAGTGAATTATTTAGCAAATACTAAGTATATTCAATATCTACAGTGAATTATTTAAGACCAGTATGAATTATTCAGTATCCACTATGAATTATTCACTGCCTACAATACATTATTCAGTATGTTTTATGAATTATTCAGTATCTACAAAAGATTTAACAGTACATGCAGTGAATTATGTAGTAAATGCTGTAATAGTCATTATGTGCAATGAATTATTCACTAACTACTATGAGTTATTTAATAACTACTATGAGTTATTTAGTTTTAGTTAATCATAAATTACTCAGTACTAGGCTTTAGGCTGAACGATTTGGGAAAATATCTAATTGTGATTTTTCTGACCAAATTCATGGGGTCCTCTCTGATTTTGTTGTTGTACTTTAGACTATATACCCCTTGTTTTACTCACACCACCGACAGGCATGGTACACGCACACACAGGCTCATATCTGTAACCCGCTCTCTTTTCGCAGCCTCTGTGTTCTGAGTGTACTGCAGTGCACTTTCTCCTGCTGCCTCGTCTTGCTTGTCCTCATTTGACCTTGTTTATTTGTATCGTGCCTGTTGTGTGAGAGTGAGGAAGTGCGCCTGCTGTGTTTTATGCTATGCCCAGTATTTGTCTTGAGTTCGTCCTTATATACGTGTACATGAGTGGAAGAACAGTGAGGTTGAGTTGAATGTTTCACAGGGTTAAATGTAGGTTTTAAGTTCTATGGTTTGTCTGTCTGTTGCAGTTGTTTTGATGGAGTCTTCGCGGGGCACTGGCTCTCTCTCCCGCGAGTACAAACTGGTCATGCTGGGGGAGGGAGGAGTGGGAAAGAGTGGTGAGTGACCAAAAAGAGACATTCAGATTCTACCTCTCTCTCTCTCTATCTCTCTCTCTCTCTCATTCTCTCTGTCTCACTCTCTCTCTCTCTCTCTCACTCTCTCTGTCTCCCTCACTCTCCCTCTCTCTCTCCTCTTTGTCTCTCCCTCTCTTTCTTTCTCTCGCTCTCTCTCTCCCTCACTCTCCCTCTCTCTCTCTCCTCTTTGTCTCTTTCTCTCTCTCTCTCTCCTCTTTGTCTCTCTCTGTCTGTCTCTCTCTGTCTGTCTGTCTCTCTCTCTCTGTGTCTCACTCTCTCTCAATTCTCTGCCTTTTTTTTCTTTCTTTCTCTCTCTCTCTCTTCCCCACCTTCTTTTTTCCTCTTTCTCTCTCTCTCTCCTCTCCACCTTCTTTTTCTCTCTCTCTCTCTCTCTCTCTCTCTCTCTCTCTCTCTCTCTCTCTCACTCTCTCGCTCACTCTTCCTTCTCTCTCTCTATCCTCTTTCTCTCTCCTCATTCTCTGTCTCTCTCTTTCTCTCTATCTCTCTCTACCTATCTTTCTCTCTCTCTCTCTCTCTCTCTCTCCCTCTCTCTCTCGCTCACTCTTCCTCTCTCTCTGTCTCTCTCTCTCTCTCCCTGTCTCTCCTCTTTCTCTCTCCTCATTCTCTCTCTCTCCTCTCTCTCTCACTCTCTCTCTCTGCAGCCCCACCCTTTTTCCAGCATGTGCATTCTGTGCCCTTCATTGTCTCTGAAGTCTTGTTAGTGTTTGTATCAGAGCTGTGTAATAAATCATCTGTTAATGATTATTAGAATGTTATTCTTTGTGATACTGATACAACAGATGGCTGCAGTAGGCAAATGAGTCTAGTTGCTTTTTTTGTCCAAATCAGCCGCAGATGAGAATTTCTGTGGGTGTTTTGATGAATCACAGCATTGGCATCATCCAGTTGAAATAATTTTAATCAAAATAATGCAGGCAAAACTTGAAATACACCAAATACACAAAATAATAATAATTCACTGGTGTATTTGTGATATACAACACTGAGCAAAAGTCAGAAACCATCCTTTCTTTTATCTCATTTCCAATCAAAACAGCTTCAAATATAAGTTATTTTTGACCATCTGGAAAAAAAACAAAAAAATATGTATATTTACAGAAAATTACCCAGAAGCTACAACAGCTAAATATAATATCACATTTTTCAGTATTCAGTGCGTCACACTTTACCTTTATTACAGCTTCCATTCTCTTCAGAAGACTCACTTTCAGTTTCTCAAGGTGCAGACACACCTCCAAAGTCCAGTCTCAGAAGATGCTTTATTATTTTCTGCTTGTCCAAAAAATCCCAATTACAAATTTAGACTCATCGGTTTTTGAAAGCTTTGCTCCACATCTCAGAGGTCAGATTTTCTTTTTTTTTCTTTTCACATTTTGTTACTTCCAAAAAACGTTCTTAATTTTCAGTGTAAGTTAATGTCACAGTGTTTTATTGTACGTCATTTTGGATTCTGTTGGTCTGGTTCATCAAGAAATTCTGACGCAGAGTAAAAAGCAGCTGGTATTTTCAAATTATGTAAAAAAGGTCAAAATTGAGTGCTTGTCCTTATTTTAGACGCTCATGGGAGAGAAACGTGTGGGAAGTTTGGGTAGTTCTGTGAATGTTAGCATCTCTTTGTCAGTGAGATTTTAAGGAACAGCTTTTGTTGGGAGGACTCAGCTGTAACTGGTTAGTTTTAAGATTTAAGAAAAGAGGAATTCAACTGATTTTTCAATATTTCCGAATAATTTAATCATTGAGATGTAAACAAAGTCACTCAGAGTGGTTTGATGTCGAAAGCTTTCTTTAAATCTTTACAGTGGTGGTGATAGGAACCAGGGGTCACCATGTCTACAACACAAATATAGCCATTTTATTTGTTTTCTAAAACCACCAGTGAACCTACACGAGTCTTCTGAGCTTTATATGTAATGTTGATGATGGTAAAACAGTGGTAAAGTTTTATTTGGGGGACATTTTGCCTCCAAACACCAGACAAAATTCTTCTCCAAACTATCATGAAACAGTGTCTCAGACATTGAGACTTAACCACTTCATGTAGTAACTTTCTGTAAAGGAGCTTTTAGAGGTGGACGTCTGGTTCCTATCACCACCACTGTGAACAATTCCGACTCAGTAAGTCTCTCTAGAACAGAGCGTTTCACACTAAACCACTCTGAATGACTCTGTTTACATCTTAACCACTTAATAATGCAGAAATTTTGAAAAATCAGAGGAATTCTCCTTTAACGTGACAGTAGACTGCACAAAAGTAAAGAGTGGACAAATGAAATACTGATTGACCGAAACTTGATATTATATTGAGTTGTTGAGGCTTCTGTGTCATTTTCTATTAACCCCTTAAATGAAAGTCCCTGTAGTTACTGAATAATAAGCCTTAGTATGTAATAAGCCTGGGATTTTAAGGAGTTAAATATGTTTCCTGCTTTTTTCCTGACACTGGAAAATGAATAACTTAATGACTTAATAGCCATTTTGACTGGAAATTAAATAAACGAAGGGATCTCTGACTTTTGCACAGTACTGTATAATAAGCCACACAATCAATGTATTTTTGTCAGTGGATTATGCAACTATAATTTCTACTGCCCTGCCTTTTCTCCATCCTGTGTTGATTGTTGTTGTTGTTGGTTTGTTTCATCATGAGGTGCCCCTCTCAACCCCCCTCAGCCCCCCCTGCCCGCCCACACTGCTGCTGGGCGGTGGCTCTCTGCTTCAGCAATCAGAGGCTTCTGCTCAGTCTGGTCGTTAGGGAGTCAGTCTAGTCGTTAGGGAGTCACCTAGCAACCACCACCCCCCCTCCACTTACTCCCACAGTCTGTTGCTACGGAGATAAGCACGTTTCACCTGGTGAGGATGTGTATAGGGTTGCATTGCACGGGGGACTTTAAGGTGACAGATATTTTCACTTTATTTTACCCTGACTGTCTCCATGGGAACAGCACAGAGGAGCTGAACGGAGCAGATCTGTGTGTGTGTGTGTGTGTGTGTGTGTGTGTGTGTTTGTTTTCATACATTTTCAAGACAGAAAAGTCAGAATCTGAGTTTTCAACAAAGCTCTTTGTATCATTATTCATGTGATTTGTAAAACTGAAAGAGCAAAACCATTTCTTTTTGGTTCCTGGGGTTAATATTAGTGTTAATGCTTATATACATATATTTATGGGGCGTATTATAACATGCAGACACTTACATATATTGCTGCTGTCGGAAGAAAACCTTGTATATCCATTTTGGTAGTTTTTCAGTTTTCGACATAATTTGAAAATGCCTGTTGCCCTTTACATTGTTTGTAAATTTCATGACGAACGGACCGAAAGAAGTGGCACAAAATGACTTGGAAAGATGTCTGGTTCCATTGACTTACATTAAAAGTAAAGTATGTTTTTTCCTTCTCCTGTAAAATTATCATTTTGGAGATACAAGGTTTTTTTCCAACGGCAGCGATATATATAAAACACATATGGACACATTGTTATTACATATAGGCACGTACATGTATTTAATACATTTGTGTATATATATGTATGTATGTATATATACACACACACAAATGTATTATATATGTGTAAGTAATGATTATGTACATATGAAAGGTATGGACATATTATTATCTATATTACATATAGATACTTTCATACAGTACTGTACAAAAGTCTTACACATCTAAGCACATTGTTTAAAACCAGTCATCCCAGCAGTAAATGTATTTATGTCTGTAAAAACACTATATAATATTAGAATAAATGTGAATAAATATAAATAAAGTAAAAAGTAACATGAATTACTGGTTTGAAATTTCTTCTTGGTGCACACCTGCCGTTGCATGGATTCCAACAGCAGCACACCTGATTTAATTTAATTAAATATTGAATATATAAACCATTTATTTATTTTTTACACCAAGCATTGAATGATAACTGCGGATAATTCTGGGCTTCCTTGAGGAGGTTTTTGGAAATGACTAAACAAACACACTACCATACACCAAATCACTACATATTGCATTGATGTTATGTCTACGTATTGTATTAATTTTATTTATATTTCTTTGTAAACATAATTGACTGGCGACCTGTCCAGGGTGTATCCTGCCTTACGCCTAATGACAGCTGGGATAGGCTCCAGCACCCCCCGTGACCCAGAAGGATAAGTGGTTTAGATGATGTCTGTGTGTGTGTGTGTGTGTGTGTGTTTGTGTTTGTAAACATAATTTTCCATTCAGATGGATAAGACTTTTGCACAGTACTGTATATATAATGCATATGCGACATATCGCTGCTGTCTGAGCAAAACCTCTTATCTCCAAAATGGTAACTTTACAGGAGAAGGAAAAAACATACTTTACTTTCAATGTAAGTCAATGGAACCAGACTTTTTACTGAATAATTTTGGGCTGTTTCTTTTGGTCCATTCATCATGAAATTTACACACAATGTAAAGAACAACAGGTATTTTCAAATTATATCAAAAACTGAAAAACTACAGAAATGGAGATACGAGGTTTTGTTCCGACAACAGCGATATGCACGACTTCACATCCTGACAAGGTATAAAAACAAACGTGTGTGTGTTGGAAGGTGGGGTGGACTGAGAATGATGAGCCGTCAGTTGAAGGGAAGAATCGTGGATTAGAGAGAGAAAAAGGGAGGAGCTTTCACTCATTTGTGTCATAATACCTGGATTATGTAAGTAATGTCTCTCTCTCTCTCTCTCTCTCTCTCTCTCCCCCTCCCCTCTCTCTCCTCTTGTTATTTCCAGCCATCATCATGCAGTTTATCAGCCACAGGTTTCCTGAGGACCATGACCCGACAATAGGTGAGAAAGTAAAAACATAATTAACTCTTACGCATCCCCCCTTAAAGCGATAGTTTGGTGAAAAATCTCATTTACATATTACTACCTCACCCCAGATGTAGTCCATCAGCCAAGACATGTTTGGGGCCTGAGGTACATTACTGAGCTAATGTAGCTAACATGTAAAGTCTATACCCCACCAATTAGCATGGTGCTAATTACTGAACAATTACTGATTACTGAACAGCTCCACACAGTTTGAGGTGAGTTTAGTTGTGTGCAGTTGTGTGATGCTAATTGGTGTACATGAGCTTCCATTACTTGTTAGCTACATTAGCTTCATAGCTCCAGAGCTAAAACTAAAGAAGCAAACTTAAGACAATAAACATGTTTAGCTGATCAACTACATTTGGGGTGAACTGAAGATGAGCTTTCACTCTATGGGCCTGTATGAGGGTCCACACCTCAGCTTCTCAATCTCACAACTACAGAACGTACACATTAGCATCACAGTAGACACTGAGTGGGTTTACACGCACTCAACAATCGGATAGTAATCAGATTTCTGCAGTTATCTGATTATTCAAATGGTCATGTAAACACCATACTCCGATCTAGAAATCCGATTAAGAAATCTGATAAAGAGGCTGGATTTTAGCTCAGTAATCAGATTTCTCAGTGCATGTAAACTCTTACTCTGATTTCTTTCGGATTTCTCAGTCTGCGCATGTGCGAAAACAGGCGGCGGTACCGGAAATAAGCCAGCAGCGTCACCACGAGACACAGCAAAACACTTTTAGAGTGACACTGAAACCAAATACATTTGTGACGAAATGAAGCATTTAAATATTCTTCATCTTCTAGATGATGTACGTTCATATTTTCAGGTAAAGTGACGCCATGTTAAAAAAAAAAGCCGCGGCATGAAGTTTGAGTTTACATTACGTTTATGTCTCGTGTTCTTCCGTGAATTTATTGGTTGTAAAGCAGAAATCCAATTACTGTCTAACTCATGTAGACCCGGAGTTTCCCCATTATCTGATTACTCAAGTGAATGTAAACACGTTGATCAGATTAAGAACAAAATATCGGATTATTAAATGCATGTAAACGCACTCACTGAATAATTTATAGTAGTTAACGAATAATTCATAGCATAAAATGAGTAATTTGTAGTAGTTACTGAATTATTTATACACAGAATGATTCAAAGTCGACACTGAGTAATATATAGTAGTTACTGTGTAATTAATAGTAGTTACCAAAGTCATATCAGTTACTGAATAATTCATAGTAGATACTGAATAATTTATAGTAGTTACTATATAATATGAAGTTATAGTAATAACTGAATAATGAGCCTGATGAATAAATGAAAAATTCACATATTTCAGCTGATTGATGACATTTGGGGTAAAGGAAAAACTGTATACATTAGATTTTTCTCCAAACTGTATCTCGAATATGTAAAAACCTTAAATCGCTCAATGTTTTTCCTACATTAACATGCCTGATTGATTATCAGCTAATTATCAAAGCCTTCAGGAGTGGAGAGGGTAGGTGTGATAATAGCTTTAAGACATTAAAGCCTTTTTTAGAAGTTGTTCTGGTGGATTTCCACCCATTGCATGCTCGAGTCATGTTGTTTTATGTCAGTCATTTGCTGTTTCATGTGGCTGTAAAGCTTCTTCCTGTGAAACTCTTCCCACCATGCCTGACCAAGCTGTTACATAATTTCCCTACCAAATAATGAACCTATTTAGAGCAGCTGCTGCTGAGAATATATACACTGTGTTTATGCACTGCATGGGACTGTTGCCTTTTCTGCAGGGCTAAAAATCTGATTTGATTTGATTACGATTCTTTAGGGGATGATTTAATGCACCATTAAAATCTCAAATTTCATTATGATTTGATGATAGTGAAATTTGAGATTATTATATGTTCCAGAATTATTTTAAAGCTAATCACAAATGTACAAAACATACTGTGCAGAAGTCGCTGACCACTCTTTATTTATTTTATTTCCAGTCACAGCCATTAAATCCAAAAAGCAGAAAACAGAAATTTACACAGAAGCCTCAACAGCTAATCATAATATAATATTTCAGTATTTATTGTGTCACTCTTTACTTTTATTACAGCTTCCATTCTTCTCAGGAGACTCACTTTCAGTTCCTCAAAGAATCTGCAGACACACCTCCAAAGTTCAGTCTTAGAAGCTGGTTGATCATTTTCTGAAGTAATCAAACACATTCAGTGGTGTTGAGGTCTGGACTCTGGGGTGGTCAGTCCATCGTTCAGAAAATAAATTGAAATAAATGAAGGGTGGTCCATGACTTTTGCACTGTACTGTACCTGGAGGAGCTACACAGTGGTAGACAATATAAAACAATAACGACACACCAAGTCTTTTTGTTTTTATCTTTGCGTTTGAAACCGATACGTTGATGTACCATTACTCCCATAACATGATGACATGTATCCTATTTTTTCTTTTTTAATGTATGTTATGTGTGTGTCCACGTTCTCAGAGGACGCGTACAAGACGCAGATCCGCATAGATGATGAGCCGGCAAACCTGGACATCTTGGACACAGCAGGACAGGTAAGCAGGAGAGGAAAAACAAGCACAGGAGGAAAAACAGTGAAGGTTAAAGAAATTAGGTGAATATAGAGCTTTTTACACACTGAGTTTCCACTACAGCTCTGTGTACCTTAAAATCCACTATATAAATGTATTATTACAGACTGTAGTCCATCTGCTTACTGAACACTTCATAGTATTGAATAATTCATGATGGTTGCTGAATTACAGTAGTTACTGAATAATTCATAGTTGTTACTAAATACTTCATAGTAGTTACTGATTAATTCATAGTAGATACTAAATGATTCACAGTAGATACTGCATGATATATAGTAGTTACTGAATAATTCATAGTAGGTACTGAATAATTTATAGTAGTTATGAATAATTCACAGTAGGTACTGAATAATTCTTAGTAGTTAGGCAAAACAATTATAGTGGACCCTTAATATAAAGGTTAAGAGGCTACAGTGAGTTTGTCGTTTATATTTGCAATTATTCGTAGCAGTCATCGAATAATTCATAGTAGATACTAAATGATTCACAGTAGATATTGCGTAATATGTAGTAGTTACTGAATAATTAATTGTAGTTACCAAATAATTCATAGTAATATCCAAATAATGAATAGTAGTAACTGAGTAATCTATAGCAGTTACTGTATAAAATGCTGTTATAATAGTAACCTAATAATAAACCTAGCGTTAACAGTTTGAGCACAGCTTTAATTATAGTGCGTCATTAATACAAAGTGTGCACAGCGGCCTGTGAGTTCATGATGGCTGTATCTGCTGCTGTGCGCAGGCCGAGTTTACAGCTATGCGGGATCAGTACATGCGAGCTGGCGAAGGCTTCATCATCTCCTACTCCATAACAGACCGCCGCAGCTTTCAGGAGGCGCGCCACTTTAAGCAGCTGATCTACCGCGTCCGCCGCACCGTGGACACACCTGTGGTGCTCGTGGGAAACAAATCGGACCTGGCTCACCTCAGACAGGTGAGGCGTTACCCATCTAACACGCAGATGGACTGGGAGGCCCAGGCTGAGGATTCTGTAATGTTTTGTTTATTACCTTGTGTTAATGTGCATTACCATTCAGAATCTGGAATCAGTGTTTTCTAAAAAAGCAGTTTGCAGATACATGTGTACAATGATGCATAAATAAGTTTGAGATGACTGAGGACGTTATAGAGCACCAATAATTATGTTCTAATTAAAACTCTTCTAATAGAAAGTGGCCAGTGAGTAGAGAAAGGGTGGTGTATCTAATAAAGTGGCCAGTGAGTAGAGAAAGGTTGGTGTTTCTAATAAAGTGGCCAGTGAGTAGAGAAAGGTTGGTGTTTCTAATAAAGTGGCCAGTGAGTAGAGAAAGGTTGGTGCTTCTAATAAAGTGGCCAGTTAGTGGAGGTACAAGGTAGGTGTTTTTTAATAAAGTGGCCATTGAGTAGAGAAAGGTTGGTGTTTTTATAAAAGTGGCCAGTGAGTGGAAGTACAGGGTATGTGTTTCTAATAAAGTGGCCATTGAGTGGAAGTACAAGGTATGTGTTTCTAATAAAGTGGCCATTGAGTGGAAGTACAAGGTAGGTGTTTTTAATAAAGTGGCCAGTGAGTGGAAATACGAGGTAGGTGTTTCTAATAAAGTGGCCAGTGAGTGGAAGTACAGGGTATGTGTTTCTAATAAAGTGGCCAGTGAGTGGAAGTACAAGGTATGTGTTTCTAATAAAGTGGCCAGTGAGTGGAAATACAAGGTAGGTGTTTCTAATAAAGTGGCCAGTGAGTGGAAGTACAGGGTATGTGTTTCTAATAAAGTGGCCAGTGAGTGGAAGTACAAGGTATGTGTTTCTAATAAAGTGGCCATTGAGTGGACGTACAAGGTATGTGTTTCTAATAAAGTGGCCATTGAGTGGAAGTACAAGGTACTTGTTTCTAATAAAGTGGCCAGTGAGTGGAAATACAAGGTAGGTGTTTCTAATAAAGTGGCCATTGAGTGGAAGTACAAGGTACTTGTTTCTAATAAAGTCGCCATTGAGTGGAAATACAAGGTAGGTGTTTCTAATAAAGTGGTCAGTGAGTGGAAGTACAAGGTAGATGTTTCTAATAAAGTGGCCAGTGAGAGTATGCATTCTTATTTGTTTTAATATCTCTCCACCAGGTGTCTGTAGAGGAGGGAAAAGAGCTGGCGAGGGAATTCCAGTGTCCGTTTTTTGAGACGTCGGCAGCCTTTCGCTACTACATCGATGAAGTTTTCGCTGCACTCGTGCGGCAGATCCGTCAGAAGGAGGCGGAGGTGGTGAGGGGGAACGAAAGAAAGAGCCGCCGCTCGCAGTCGTTCTGGAGCCGCCTGAAAGCGCCCTTTCACAGGAAGCAGCAGTCCGAGCACTGAGGGGGCACACGGCAGACGGTGGTCCTCCAAGAAGAGGAAGAGAAAGTTACTGGGTTTTTTTGTGTTTTCTCATCTGTACACTGAAAAAGTGGCGCATTGAGTTTCCTTGATTCAAATGTGTACGTTATTTCCGCATGAAGGAGATACATCAACGCTTCGGTTTACTTACTTTCAGCAATAACTGTGTTGATGTAGTCCAATTTATTCACATGGAAACAATGTACACATTTAAATCAGAGTCAGTCCAGTGCATTCAGTGTAGTCCTCTTACTGCCATCTCTAAATATGGGCGGTATTGTGAACTGTTGACGTAGACAGCGTTTATGTTTAATAATTTTGATTAAGCACTCCAAATCGTTTCATTTTGTTGATCGGACACCAACCATCCTTGTATGTGCAGGACACACACAGTTACGGTCATCATATATAGGCTACTTACTGTTACCTTTGTAGGCTGACTTATTAATAATACTGTAGTACTTAGTGAAAAACTATTAAACTTGACAGTAGGGTCTTTTTTAATATACGGGCAGCATTTCTTTTTCTTTTTTTTTTTTGAGGTTGGCTTTCAGGAGAACTGTAGTACCTCAGAGTTTAAAAAAAGAGGGAAATAAGGAAGTCGTGGAGAGTCGAGGAAGATTTTTATGGGTTGATATGAAGAACAGAGAGCGATAGGTTCGTAGATGGCTTGAGATTTCATAGAAAAGAGAACAGAGAGTGTGCAGTATGTCAGAGAGGGTGTGGCAGAGAGAGAGAGAGAGAGAGAGAGAGAGAGAAGGGTGGAGAGAGATACAGCATACACTGAAAAAAGTGCTGCATTGAATTTACTTGATTCCAGTGTGTACATCATTTCCACATCCAATACAGCATTGTCTTTCAGTTCACTCACTTTTTGGCAGCTGTGCAAGAGTCAGAGACCACCTTCATGTATTTAATATCTCACCAAAAACTTGTCTTTAAGTACAAGTTGCTAATTTTCCAGGAGATGTTTCTGAGGAGATTAGATGTAAGATAATCCACTTGTATAATGAAGGAAAGTCAAAGGAAAATAACTGACAAAACAAGAGTTTCCAAAATTGGAGTTCAAAAATTGATTAAAAGCTACAGAGAAAATGGGGCTCCTAACAACCACCTGGAAGACCTGGTAGACACCAAAACTGTCCCCATCAGATAAACAGCACTTAAAGCTTTCCTCTTTGAGAGAGAGGAGAAAATCAAACTGCTTCAGATCTGAAAACATCCACAGGTGTTTCTGTCCATCCTTCCACTGTGAGAAGACGACTTAGCGCTGTGGGTCTGAAAGGATGTGTAGCTGTTCAAGAAGAACCTTACTGAGAAAAGGAGACGGACACATCAAACAAAGAAGCTGAACGATAGACTGACCACCCCAGAGTCCAGACCCCAACCAGCAGAAAAATTCAACCAACTTCTGAGACTGAACTTTGGAGATGTAAAAGATTTTTTTGAGAAACTGAAAGTGGGTCTCTTGAAAAGAATAGAAGGTGTAACAAAGGCAAAGAGTGACACACTAAATAGTAAAAATATATAATATTTAGTTGTTGAGGCTTTTCTACACTTTTCTGTGAAATTTATATATATATTTTTCCTGATGCTAAAAAAATGAATAACTTGTGCTTAAAGGCTTTTACCCAACATGATTAAAGCACGGTCTCTGACTTTTGTACAGCGCTGTGATACATTTTACTCATTATTCAGCACATTATGTTTTTCAGTGTAGGTGAAATAGGGGCTGTGCTTACTGGGTGGAAAGTTTACAGCGATACAGAGATACGCTAGTCGGCTTAGCTGAGAGAATAATGGATTCTGTAAAAGTATCCTTTCATCCTGGCTGTGGTTTTTGTCCAAAGCTCATGTCCAGGTCGTGTTTGCTTTGCAGCTGTGGACTGTAGTTTTGTTTGCAGTGCAGCTGGATGTGTTTTGATGGGGACTGAGCTCTGTTGGAAGAGGAGTTTGTAGAAGACACTCACTGGGAATGTCCAGCCACATGGAAAGATTGAAGGGGGAATTTCACTGATTTATGCATAATTCAGTTGTTACAGTGAAAACAAGGTCATTAGGAGTGGTTTGGTGTGAAACACTCTGTTTTAGAGAAACTTACAGAATCAGAATTGTCCACTGTGGTGGTGAGAGGAACCAGACGTCCACCTCTAAAAGCTCCCTCACAGAAAGTTACTGTGTTATGATGGTTTTGAGAAGATTGTGGCCTAAAACGTATGTTTTTTGATCTATTCATGGTGGAGGGGTACATGCAGAGGGTTGTGAAGCATAGTAGCCCCCAGAAATTACATATAAAACTCAGTAGGTTCACTGGTGGTTTTGGATAGTAGATAAAATGGCTATATTTGTGTTGTAGTCATGGCGACCCCTGGTTCCTATCACCACCACTGTAAAAAAAACTCTCTACAAAGTAGAAAAGCAGAAAACAGTGTTGTATTTACTTACCTACACAGGGTATGATGTTTTTTGCCAACAATTACCGTTGTAGAGTAATTTTTTTAGTAAATACATGAAAGGAAACCTTACCTCTCCCAGAATGGCATACGAATGTGACGTCTATGTAGTTTTCCCTCTTACCCATGTTGTGCAATTACTACACATAAAATCTGAATGGTATATCTGGCTGTTGCTGAGCGTCAAGCAAACACCAGACTTTTTTTTAAGTGTGAGATTTTTTTTTCTTAATTGTGTGATCATGAATACTATATTTTCCTTAATTTATTTTCATCAGAGATTCTGGAATAAAATTGACGTAGAGAAGTTTAACAAAGTATCTCATGGCCTGGCAGTGGTTTTGTTGTTTTTTTGTAAATCTCCTGGCGCCCTCCCCTGGCTGGATCATGGTATCAGTTCAGAAGACACAGCCTTAAAAATATTAGGCCTTTCATGGTGGAGAGAGAAAAAAATCACTTTGTTTTTGCGTGCTCCCTCCGTGTCTCATCTCTTTATTCACCCCAAGACAACTCAGCTTACTCAGGCGGTTCCTTATTTATTTAAAGGACTCTACATTTTCTTGCATTTTAGGTCCACTTATGATGTTTATGTGGTCTTACCAGAATCAGAATCTGAATCAGAATCTTTATTTGCCAAGTACCAGATGTACAAGGAATTTATTTTGGGTGCAGGTGTCAATAAAAAATCAAATCCAATAAAATAAATACAGAAAACACACACACACACACACACACACACACACACACATATATATATATATATATATATATATATATATCGCTGTTGTCGGAAGAAAACCTCATATCTCCATTTTTGTCTTTTTTCAGCTTTTGACATAATTTGAAAATGCCTGTTGTCCTTTACTTTGTTTGGAAATTTCATGAAGAATTGACCAAAAGAAATGAGTAAAAATGACTTGGAAAAACGTCTGGTTCCATTCACTTACATTAAAAGTAAAGTAGGTTTTTTCCTTCTCCTGTAAATTTACCGTCTTGCCATTTTGGAAATACGATGTTTTCTTCTGACAACAGTGATATATACACAGATCAGGCATAACATTATGACCTTGTTTCTATGCTCATTGTCCATTTTATCAGCTCCACTTACTATATATGTGCACTTTGTAGTTCTACGGTTACAGACTGTAGTCCATCTATTTCTCTGCATACTTTGTTAGCCCCCTTTTACCCTGTTCTTCAGTGGTCAGGACCCCCATGGACCCTCACAGAGCAGAGTACTATTTGGGTGGTGGATCATTCTCAGCACTGCAGTAACACTGACATGGTGGTGGTGTGTTAGTGTGTGTTGCGCTGGTACGAGTGGATCAGACACAGCAGTGCTGCTGGAGTGAGACATATATATATATATACACATCACTTAGAATTAAACAGGCTGTTTTTGTTACTGTGCCTTTAAGACTAATATATGTAAGCCCTGTTTTGATGGGCTGCCCTGTATTGTGCCTCAATCAAGAAGCAGTCTGGGCTGAAACACTCCCTATAACTTCATTGTGAGTGGGCGGGGCTAAACTAGGTGAATATAAGTAAGTTATTCGGTTTTTGTAACGTCACAGAAATCCTGTATTCAAATCGGCCTGTTTTTGCAGTTTAGTTTCCATATATGGACTGTATAGACTGGGAAGTGAGCTATGCATTTTGAGACTTTAATAGTGTTTATGTGCTTTATCAAACTCATCTATTCCAAAAGAGCAAGGAAAATTTGTTTTTTCCATTATTTGGGCCCTGTAAGTGTTACCCTGCTCCTGCTCTTAACATGAGCTGTGTATTTTAGCGTTTTCCTGCTAGAACACTAACATTTACCCCAAAAAAGGTTTAGGAATGAGCTGCTGAGTTAAAGTCAGGAGTTTTAGAGCAGGAAAACACTAAAATGTGGGCTGCAAGCGGACTGTGGGGGCCGAAATGAGAAACACTGGTCTGGCAAGACCATCAGTGTCTAAAAACGCTAAACTCCGCGGTAAATATGAGGCTGTGGCAGAAAATTGGAGAAGCTCCTTGATGTAGGTCAGTTGAGCGAGGATTGGGACACTGCAGCAACTTCGCGCCTACGGCAGAATCGCGTTCGATTCAGTTTAAAGAACCGATTCGTTCGCACTGTCCGTTTCAGTGAATCGAACGTCCGATTCAATGACTCATTTTCATAGTCAGTGTCCTTGTCCTAAAGTTCACAGTTGTTGGTTTGTGTTAGCATCAAGAGAAGATCCTACCTGTCTCACCGAAACACATATTAAGATACATATTTCAGAAATACGGCTTATAAAAGCACACTTAAGGGGAACTCCACCGATTTTCCAAAATTTCTGCATGATTAAATGTCATGACATGTCAACAGAGTCAATCAGAGTGGTTTGGTGTGATATGCTCCGTTCTAGAGGCACTTACTGAGTCAGAATTGTTCACTGTGGTGGTGATAGGAACCAGACGTCCACCTCTAAAAGCTCCCTCATAGAGAGTATCCTATATAATACTCTGCCTGATGCATGAAACTATGTTTTAAGGTAGTTGTGTGACAAAATTTTGGTCTAAAACAATTTATTTTAATCCATTCATGGTGGAGAGACACATGAAGAATGTTCATGTAGAAAATAATTCTCAATGAAAACTTTTTTTCCAGATTTACCATTATTTTTCTATTATTAATATACCATACAAAACTCAGAAGACTCGTGTAGGTTCACTGGTGGTTTTGAGAGTAAATAAAATGGCTGTATTTGTTTTGTAGTCATGGTGACCCCTGGTTCCTATCACCACCACTGAAAAGACATCCGAGTCTCTACAATCAACCATTTTTTATGCAGTTATGCATCATTTTGAAGAAACGCTGGAATTCGCCTTTAAGCAAAACCCACAAACCTCAAGTGTCGATTCTGGGATGCATATGGCACAAAAACATAACAGCAGGAAAAATAAGCTACAGCCTTATTAGTAAATGAAACGTTAATCTCGTTCAAGAGGCTGATACACTACAATGTGGTACTTAATGTTGTGATTAAATTAATATTCGATAAAAAATATGATTCAAATTCATTTTATTCAGCGTACAACACCGACGTAGGCCAGACGCTACACATCCAGTTCAATTCAGTTGGACTTGTGAATCGAATCGATCGATTGGTTCAAAAGAATCGGTTCAACATGATTCGTTCGCGACTCGTGCATGGCTACAACAACAAACGGCTTCAACAAGTTTGTCCCTGTCTGCTTACCGTCGATAGGAGGTCACTGTCAGTGCGCAGTGAACTGATATTTTAACCTCAAAGTAAACACTCTGAGGCACAAACGCACTCAGGGACGACTGGAGATTACAAACAGAAGATCGTCAGTTGGTCCTGCTCGAGTTTAAACGCACAAAACGAGCGGGAAAGTTTGCGAGCTCGAGGTCGTTAGCCGTTAGCGTGTAGCACCGAGGCGAGCGGAGCAGCGATGGAGTCGTGGGTGCGATTCAGCGCTCAGAGTCAAGCCAAAGAGCGAGTTTTCAGGTAAAAATAAACGCTTGCTATTCAGCTTATCCTCAGTTCAGAGCTTTGACAGCCGGTGTTGTTAGCTAGGTAGTAATCCTGTTCGAATTTTCCCGTTCCACCTTAAACAGAGCAGCAGTTACATGTAAATACTGCACCATTTAAGGTGGAACGGTTAAACTGTAAAGCCGCCAGCATTGAGCTGCGTTGTCGGAGTGATGGAGCTTCATTCAATATCTTTGGGATGAGTTAGTGATCCAGAACTGATCACCCAACATCAGTACATGACCTCACTAATGCTCAATCAAATCCTCACGGCAATGTTTTAACATCTAGTGTAACGACTTTCCAGAAGACTAGAGGCTGTTACTGCAGCAAAGGAGTCCAACTCACTGTTAATACCCTTCATTACAGCAGAAAAGCTGAATCAGTGGGTGTTTACAAAGTTTTGGACAGAAGTATTTGATCATAAACTAACGATTGACCTCTTTAGTGGGTCAGTGGGGTTGGATAAACCTGTGCAGAGTAGGCTAGACCGGTTATATTACTAAAGATTAGAGATGGGCGATATGGCAAAATGTAATATCTCGATACTTAAGATAGTTTTTTACAATACACGATATGTCACAATGTTTATTTTTCCTGACGTCTGATAAGTTATAACAGATGAAATAAGCCCACATTTTAAAAATACTGTCAAAAACTATGAATTCATTTATTTGTGTTCAACATTTTACACACTGCTGCACTAAATCCATTAAAACAGGCCTAATTATGCCCTCTTTTTAGTCAAACGGTCAAAAAAATAAGTGTTTTTTAGTACTGACAATCAGTGGTGGACGAAGTACACAAACCATGTACTTGAGTTAAAGTAGAGAGACCCAAGGTAAAATATTACTCCAGTAAAAGCAGAAGTTCCTCCCTTTAGACCTTCACTTGAGTAAAAGTACAGAAGTATTTGCCTTCAAATGTACTTAAGCATCGAAAGTAAAAGTACTAAAAGATTAATTATGACTTTAATGTATTATTACTGTTTTTATAACAAGACTCGCTTCATTAACTCATTTTAGGTGAAAATACTCCAGTGTCACTCTTGGTAAACCAGTCTTTTAATAGAATGTTGTTAATTAGTGACGCTGTTCTATTAAAATGATCAAAAGCACAAAACACTGAAGGCAAACCGTTTCTATTAGGTTGAACTGAGTGGCTCTGAAATCACTTTCTACAAACAAGCAAAGTTTCCATTTAAGATTTATTTGAACTTAGTTACAAGCTTAAGTTTAATAAAAACTTTAAACTCAGATTCACAAATGAGTTTCCTTTACTAAACTGCATCTGTAGGTCTCTGTTCATAAACATAAACTAGCCAAAACAAATTTACTATAAAATGAAATATTGTTTGTATAAATTCAGAAAAATGACACGTCAGTCACAATGTGTACATATTTCTATATTGTGGTCTATTTACACAAAGTTAGGTTAGTTCATCATTTACGTTGACTAGACACTCCCAAAATTTTACACTGCTGCACTGATGTTGAACTGTATGCTTGCACTGGGTCGGTATGACCAACAGGTCAAAGCAAGCTCAAAACAAAGTGCGCTGTGCCCTGATTGGTGTTTTTGCTTCATGCTTCATTCATTTTGACATTACGTTCTTTATACACACATAAACCAAAAGGAACGACAGATCTCTCATAATGTAGTGGAGTAAAAATTGAGATATTTGACTTTGAAATGTAGTGGAGGGAAAGTAAAAAGTCACCCAAAATGGAAAAACTTCAGTAAAGTACAGAAACATGAAAAAACTACTTAAGTACAGTAACCAATTGCATTTACTTAGTTACTGTCCACCACTGCTGACAATATACACAGTATGCTCAGAGAAGCATATTGTGATGGAATTTGTCTTGATGGTGATAAATACTGTCATATTGGCCAGCTCTATCGGTCATGTGTGCTTCTGTGACTGTTCCTGTAGTGCACAGGTGAGTAAAGTGGCCTAAAGTCATCCTCAAGCAAAAGTGTCATGCCTGCTATGACACAACGATTGCTGTAAAAGTAACTGTAGCCTTACAAAACTACTTGAGTTAAAAAGGTTTCTTAATCTTCCAGCATTCACTCATCTTACACCATAGGAACTGAAGACTGTATCCCTCTGTTCTTCTCTTTTTGGGTCCTTTTGGTCTAAAATAAAATGCTACAGCTCCAAATTGAGAGGAGTATGTAACAGGAAAGGAGCTGACCCAATACAATAGAATAAAATAAAACATAATCCAAATACATTCAGAACTCACTGTGAAGTACTAAGTAGATATTTTCCCCTAACAAATATGCCTGAGTAGAAGTAAATCCATCCAACTTGTACTTAAGTATGTACTAATTACTACCCACATCTGCTGTTTTGGTAGAATATGTTGAAGTTTGCTTAAATGTTATAATGTCTGCATTTTCAGTAATGTTTGTGTTTGTGTTGTGCTGAACAGGGCGGCCCAGTACGCCTGCACACTGCTGGGCTACACGCTGCAGAAAGGAGGCGCTACTGCAGAACTACTGAAAACAATAAAGCAGCTCGAAACTCACCTGAGTCTCAGCAGAAAGTGTAAGTCTTTGCCTTATTGTGTTGTCTATCCTCAGATCTTCCATGCAATCCTTGCATCTGTTAATGTGTATTCATACTGTTCGTTTTTTGTGTCTGAGTTTTCAGTTTACGTCTACATTAGAGGTGCGAAAACTGTTTGTCTTGTTTGGGCCTCAGTGCAATGTTTGTAGTGGGCTGAGGGCAAAAAAGTCAAAACAATATTCAAATAAAGTTCAAGTCAACTTTAATATCCATGTTGGTCAACAGTGCAAAAACGTAAACGCATCCATGCAGCAGTGCTAAAAACAGTAGCCCCGAGCACAATGTATGCAACATGTAGCTACCACAAAATTACAAAAAACACCTTTGACCCCAAATATGTAGTCAAGCACCTGAGTTCCAAACCACGCCCCATTTGAGTGCTGAATCAGACTTTGTTCACACAGCAGGTAAAAGTGGCCCAAATCCGATCTTTTTCTTCATATGTGACTCAGATGTGTGTCTGTGTGTCAGTGTGAACAGATAAGACGATTGGAATTCATGCGACTTTTACGTCAATCCAGCTCCACATCCCTCATAATTTTGCGCTGCTGAGACCTCAAACATTTAGGCTGAGGGTTCTGTACCAAAAATTTAGAAGACACTTACTGTGGCTGCTCTGTGTTCGAGGAGATTTTGAAAGACATGGCTGAACGCGGCCGAAGGAGAGCGAAGCTGCAGCGCCAAAGAACAGTTAAAAGTCGTAAAGCAAAGTTCAAAGATACTGAGGACACAAAGAAGTGACCACGCCCTTTTTATGGCGAACTCAAGCACATTCTGTGTGATGAGTCGAGTTGTCAGCCTTTAGAACTTCAGAAAAGAAAGATCTAAAATCTACTTTCATTTTCACGAAGTTTCTGACGTTCACGATGTTTTCTTATTTGGGATTTGTTCTTAGGTAAGAACAGAATCTGCACACTCAAGAGCACAAAGGTGCGAACAATTCTGTAGTTTAAGAACACGTCATGAATCTGACGTAGACTTTTTCTTAGGATCTTTCTCAAGACACATTTAAGAAAAACCTGAGGAAGATATTGGTGAATGAGGCCCAAGTGCAATACTCAAAAAAATTAAAAAGTGTTTAAGAATTCTTAAGAAACTATTTGGAAAAAATAACAAATTTCGTAACTTTCTTCTAAAGAATGAAGTTAAGAAAAAAAAAAAAACACTTGTAAGGTTTTTTTTGACACTTTTGCACATCTGGCCCTATGAGTAGCTTTGGCCTGCTAAATTTATAGCAGTAAAATTTTTTGCAAAATCCCACCCTTCTCACCCAGTGAGCCAACAATCATATTTTTAAACTACAGGGTGATTCAATAAGATTCATCCGATTTCAAAATGATTTATTTTACTTGTGAATCATCACAGAACAATGCAGTGAACTGTAGATGGTTTAAACGAGCAAGTTTATATGAACCTCCCCCAGCTGTACAGACAACATCAACGCCATAGTCAAATTCATCCCATACTGGATTGAGCATGTCGGGTGTCGCTGCACTCACGGCTCTTTCAGTGCGATTTCGGAGATCATCCAGTGTTGTGGAACCAACGACGAACACTCTGAGCTGTTGGAGGTTCACTGGCAACGAAAATCACACTGCACAGTTATGAAGGATTCACTCTTATTGAAGTGGAGAACGCAGAACGCTTTCTGCTCAGGGGTCTCATCTCCTCTCAGACTGAAGGGAGCCATCTTCCACTGAAAGTCAGAAACTCTATGACCCCCTCTTTCAGTTGGATTGTGATTGGTTCCTAGGCACCACACGGTTGTAAAAAATATGGCGCTTTGAAATCGGATGAACCTTTTTGAATCACCCTGCGTATATATATCTTATTCAATTCTTATTTTCGCTTTAATATTGTATTTCTGAAGTATTTTAGTAACAAATTATAATGTCATGTTTTTTGGTCTTTTTGGCCCACATACACTGCATTTTTGCCCCTAGGACAAAATATTTGGGCATCCTTGGTTTAAATGCATTGGACCATGACTTTTTAAGTTAGTAGTGAGAGCCTGACCAAAGTTGATATATTTCCCAATTGGAGCATCATTGTTTATGAAAGAATTGATTTAGCTTTATTTAAGATGTGCCTGTTAAACATTTCGGTAACACTTCACTGTAGGGTAGAGTTCATAAGGCTACATGACACCCGCGTAAGCTTGTCATGACAACTAATATAGACCTACATAAATGTTTCTAAATGTTTATTCCAATAAGTCTGTCATAAAGGCTACTTTAGCTAACTTTGGTCAAAATTGGCTGTTGGAATAAACATTTATGTAGGCCTATGTCAGTTGTCATGACAAGCTTATGTAGGCATCTTGTAGCCTTATGAACCATATCCTACAGTAATGTGTTACCAACATTTCTAATAAGGACACTTGCTGGGATCCTATCAGCTGGCAACAGGTGTTATCAGTGCTATTATTGCTGAGGTTACCAGATACATTTGTCAGAAGATGATAAGCTTTGAACACAATTCCTGACCCTTTCTCTTATGAAAGCTCAACACGTTTCAGGTGTGATCAAAGCTTACGATTGTTTTTTTTTTAAGCCTTTTTGTCATGTCAGTTCTGTCTAGGTTCAGTTTTATGCTTTTTCTCTTTGAAATTGAGATCATCTCTGCACGTCTAAGGTTTGTTTTATCCTGGTGACAGTGGCTTGTACTTTAACCCTGTTCATTTTGTATCACTGATGTTCTTTGTGTATTTTCCCTCTGTAGTGATGCGGTTAGGGAACTCGGCAGAGGCTCTGGAAGCAGCTAAGCGTGCGATCCATTTATCCGACTGCGTGCTGAGGCTGTGCATCACTGTGGCCCATTTAAACAGAGCCATGTACTTTGCCTGTGATAATGTGCTGTGGGCTGGAAAAACAGGCCTGCTGCCTCAGCTCGACCAGAACAAATGGAGCCAGAGATCATTCAGGTGAATGTCGGTCTTCTCTACTGACTTTGGGTGATGCTAAATGTTCACAGACCCAAATCAGCTGCTGAAGGAGCGTAGGAACACTTAGGTCCAGTTTAAAGGCTTTTCTTATTGCTATACCATGTAGTGGACTTTGAGGACATTAACAGTAGTGCATCGAAAAACCAAGTGTACAGTTCACCATTGTTTCTCTGCATACTTTGTTAGCCCCCTTTTACCCTGTTCTTCAGTGGTCAGAACCCTCATGGACCCTCACAGAGCAGGTACTATTTGGGTGGTGGATCATTCTCAGCACTGCAGTAACACTGACGTGGTGGTGGTGTGTTAGTGTGTGCTGCGCTGGTCTGAGTGGATCAGACACAGCAGTGCTGCTGGAGTTTTTAAACACTGTGTCCACTCACTGTCCACTCTATTAGACACTCCTACCTTGTCGGTCCACCTTGTAGCTGTAAAGTCAGAGACGATAGCTCATCTGCTGCTGCACAGTTTGTGTTGGTCATCCTCTAGTCCTTCATCAGTGGTCACAGGACGCTGCCCACAGGACGCTGTTGACTGGATATTTTTGGTTGGTGGACTATTCTCAGTCCAGCAGTGACACTGAGGTGTTTAAAAAGTCCAGCAGCACTGCTGTGTCTGATCCACTCGTACCAGTGCAACACACACTAACACACCACCACCATGTCAGTGTTACTGCAGTGCTGAGAATGATCCACCACCCAAATAGTACCTGCAGTGCTGAGGGTCCATGGGGGTCCTGACCCCTGAAGAACAGGGTAAAATGGGGCTAACAAAGTATGCAGAGAATCTGTTAACTTGTAGATTTTCTTTCACACTGGTATCTCTCTTTCTTACTCGTTTCACCTGCAGATATTACCTGTTCGCGCTCATCCTAAACCTGACCCGGGATGCGTATGAGATCCGGCTGCTGATGGAGAGGGAATCTCGCAGTATTTCGGCTAAAGGCTCTCTAGCCAGCCCCTCTGCGCTCTCTCCCGGTCCAGAGAACGGAGAGTTTTCTCTCGGCCCATCCACCCCTCCACTCCCCGCCCTCCCTGTGCTGACAGCCCGACTCCAGCGGCAGCTGCGCCTCCTGGTTTCGGTGCTCCGGAGTAACCCTCCGTTACTGCTTGACCTGCTGAAGAACATGTGTGACGTTTTCATCCCACTGGACAAACTGGGGCTGTACTCCACTGGCCCCGGATTCGTAGGAGCCTGCGGCCTCGCTTCGTCCATCCTGTCCATCCTTACCATCCTTTATCCCTGGCTCAAACTCAAGCCCTGAGCAGCACGCACATCTCTAATGAAGCCCCACAGTTATCCCACAAGCCACTGGGTCTGAAAGTGGAGCTGCTATGGACTGAAATGGGGTTGATGGAGGAAAAGAAGCACAGTGGAGTTTGGCAAAAAAAATCCTGGACAGAGAAATCCCACAGGAAGTGAGGTGATGAGGTCACAAGTGGTGGACAGGGCAAAAGGGGTGTGTGTTGGTTTCTGACTGAGGTTTTGTGTCTGTAAGATCGCTCGCATATATGCATATTAAGGCTGCACAATATAGCACACTATCATATTTTTATTATATTGCCATACATTGCAATTGATATGCTTCAAAACACACAAGTGATCAGTTTGAGGTGACATGCCTGCATTATTTTGACAGAAAATTTATTTGTTTACCTAACTGGGTTCTTAAAAAAGACATGCAATTGTGATAACAATTAGGAGACACAATATTGTGGGGATGCACCGATTATGAATTTGTATGGCTGTTTTATATATATATATTTTTATTTGTAAACCCAAAGCTCGCGCTCTGTGAGCTAAATTAACTCAAAAACCACACTTAAAACAAATAACAAAATTATTTACTCTTTAATCAGCAAAACTTTTACCAATTTTAAATGGTAAATGAAAAGTAACAGAGTAAATTGGCTGATTACAGATTCCGTGCATTCCTAATATATCGTGCAGCCCTAATTAATGCATGTGTGGGTATATGTGCCTTTCATACACATATGCATTAATGTTTGTCTTTCTGTGTGTGTCTGAGACCGTGTTTACACCTCGTCGTTTTGTGCGCCTTAAGTAACAGTGGGTGGTACAGCCAAAAATGTGAATCATGGTATAATTAAAGTTTCTGACAGTTAATGCTAAAATAAACTTCTTGGGTATTTTAGGCTGTCTGTAAGTTAACAGTGGTTTACAGTTCTGGGATGTCCATTTTTACCTGCCAAAGTAAATCTGAAATATTTTTGTTGTGCAAAATAGTAGAAATAAAACTGGACAACATGGAGATAAGCGTATGTCAATATTGCTTTGTAACACTAGCCGCATAGGCCCAACAAAAATTGGTGCTAAATGTTTCTACAATGCTGAAGTGGCTTCTTACTCAGCAGCTTTTTTGTTCTAATTTTCTGTTCCACCTTTAATGGACCAGCAGTTGCATTCTAGCACCTGTACAGATGACAGAATGTAACTGCTGCACAATTTAAGATGAGACAGTGATTTCGAATAAGAAGCCAACTTCACCTTCCTCAAGTATTTCAAGTCATTTATCTCATACATGCGATCCATACACTCGCTCCCCCTGACCGCCAGACACTGCTGGAGGCGGTACGAGAGGCAGTTGTACTGGTGTCAATGTTGGGCTAAGGCCCAAAAAAACAGCCGTTCTTTTACATCTGCTGCCTTGAAAAATGCATGAATTCAGTTAAAGCAGATTAGACAGTGGGAAGTGATCAAGAGTCTGATGCATTTTCATTTGAAATGTGACTGAAACATCTCTGACTAAGACACTCAGCTAAACGGGATAACATTAGTGCTATTTCTAGGTTGCGTTATCTGCGTTTATTTGTATAACGGTCATGACAAAACTCATACCTGAGGAAGCATTTCAACCGCTGTACCGCCCACTACTAGTCTTGAGTATCAGGATTATATCTAGAGATTATCTACATAAAAGTGTGAGTGTAAACACACCCAAGATGCGTTTAAAACGGACTTAAACCTCTTTCAGGAGGTGGTCTGAGACATTTAGCCAGACATTATTTACGTAAGAGCATCTCTACAAGCCACATTCGACCAATTCAATACTGTGACTCCAAAACTGCATGAAATAAAATATCTGTTGGGATACATTTAAAAGAAAAGGATGTTTGTTTAGTAAAGACAGTCATTCCATATAGAACCATGAACACTCCGACCCATTTGCGTACATAAAAAGATCTTTGCATGGTAAAAAGCTTCTTCAGATTGGAGAATGTTGTATGTGGTTCTGTATAGCATCAAAAAAAAGTTGGTACCAGGTATAAATGCGTGTGATTAAAGTCTGATCAGGTCACAAACGACCAGGTGTGAACGAGCTCTGTGTGTTTGTTTGTGTGTTTTACATGCGTGTGTTCATGAATATGTGAGTAACGCTCCCTGAGATCTCTTTGTAGACAGCTTTGTCCTCTGTTGCGTTTTCTATCACAGTGTTTGAGGATATCGACAGTTTGTCCAGACTACACTTTCGCCTCTAAACCTCAAAAAGACTAAAACCTCTCAGATTTAATCAATTCTGTATCACAGTGGGACTCGGAGTGTAATTAAAGTCCTTCCATGTAATGATGGACCTCCAGTACACTTAAGGGATTTTAGCATGTGTGCAACACAAGCTTAATAGTACTAAAGCCACGCCATGTGCTATTGAAATTTAGGTTTAAGTGTAGGCTAAGCTGCTGCATTTTAATGTGAATGAACCTTTACTGTCACCTAAAAGGACAAAACGATATTCTATGACTGTTTTTCAATAATTTTGATAGCTAACAGTGGTAGGTTAATCAATGTTCAAGTTATTAACCATAATTGGGAGTTTGCTGCCTCAGTAAATTTCTAAATTACTCAAAATATCTGGTTAATTTAACAGTGAAAGATGTGAACAAAGTCATTCAGAGTGGTTTGGTGTGAAATGCTCTGTTGTAGACAAACTCATTAAGTCAGAATTGTTCACAGTGGTGGTGATAGGAACCAGACGTCCACCTCTAAAAGCTCCCTCACAGAAAGTTACTACATGAAATGGTTATCGGTATGCTGCCTGAGACATTGTTTTATGATTTTCATGCATGGTGTTCTAATATGAAATAGTTCCCAAAGAAAACAATTTCAGTCAATTTTTTCCAGATTTATGACTGTTTCACCATCATCATTAAATATAAACTCAGAAGACTCGTGTAGGTTCACTGGTGGTTTTGGATAGTAAGTAAAATGTCTATATTTGTGTGACCCCTGGTTTCTATCACCACCAGTGTAAAGACATCAGAGTCTCTATAATCAACCATTTCACACTAAACCACTCTGAATGACTCTGTTTACATCTCAAATGCTGAGTTATGTAGAAATTACTCTGTAATAAAAAAAAACATTCATTTTAAAATGGTTATTGCAGAGTTCAGATGTATTTAATTGTCTTTTATTGTAATTAATGTTTTTTGTACAAAACATACGGTTAAATTGACAGATCTAATGTTATTTTGCTTTCTGTTTAGGTTGTAAATGTTTAGGTGATGGACCATCAGTCTGCTTTTAGTTCAGCTACATCTAACTGAACACAGGAACGGAAAATTTGCAAGCTATCATATTTTGAATATTTGAATTTGTGCATTTATTTGATTGCGTAAAAGCAAAGAATGTGTTATTTTCCAATAGTTGTCTGTTGAACTAAAATGTCTGCTGATGTTTGGTCTTTTTTTCAGGTGGGCGGATTATCTTTATTCTGTAAAATATAAACACATCAGTGAAGCTGTACAAAGATTCTGCTTTTGTAAAACAGTAAATCTTTATCATCTAACCTTTATTTTGTGAGCTCGTCTCAGAACTGAAAGGCTGAGCTACCCACACTGGGCACTTTATCAGAAACCCCTCCTTGTAACTCTGTACAGCAAGAAACTGTAGCTCATCTGTTGATGCACAGTTTCTGACCACAGAGCTGCTCTTGTTTGGATATTTTTGGGTGGTGGACCAAACTCAACCTAGCGCTGACCCTGACGTGTATAACAACCCCAGCAACAAGTGATTGTTTATTTCATTTCCATTCAAAACGACCATTAAATACAAGTTATTTTTTTCAGAAGATATTTCTGAGGGGATTAGATTTAAGATAATGCACCTGCTGAAAAAGTTATTAAATGGGACTCCTAACAACCACCTGGAAGACCTGGTAGACACCAAAAACTGCCCCCATCAGATAAACAGCACTTAAAGCTTTCATCTTTGAGAGAGAGGAGAAAATCAAGCTGCTTCACATCTGAAAACATCCACAGGTGTTTCTGTCCATCCTTCCACTGTGAGAAGACGACTCAGCGCTGTGGGTCTGAAAGGATGTGTAGCTGTTCAAGAAGAACCTCACTGAGAAAAGGAGACGGACACATCAAACAAAGAAGCTGAACAATGGACTGACCACCCCAGAGTCCAGACCTCAACACCACTGAATGTGTTTGGGTTACTTTAGAAAATGATCAACCAGCTTCTGAGGCGGAACTTTGAAGGTGTGTCTGCAGATTTCTTTCTTTAAGTTATACTTAATGGCTGTTTTGAGTGGAAATGAACTAAATGAATGGTGGTCTCTGACTTTTGCACAGTACTGTAGTTGATTAACAGCAGTCCTGTGGTCAGAAAGTGTCTAGTAATGAATGGGGTAGAGGAAGACTTACAAACTGTGCAACACTGGATGGGGTACCCTGTTAAAAAAGATGGTTCTCCAATGTTGCTTTAGTAAAGAAAACGGTTCTATATAGAACCATGAACACACAAGGAAACCATTGCATGATTAAAGCGTTCTTTGCATTGTGACGTGGTTCTACCGATTGATAGAGAATGTGTTGTATATGGTTCTATACACTAAAGACATAGCACTAAAAAGGGTTCGGCTATTGTTACCATACAAGCTTTGAAACAATAGGAGAACCCTTTTCAAAAAGGTTCTATATAGAACCATATACAGCACATTCTCTGAAGTCTGAAGAATCATTTCTCCATGCAGTGAGCCCTTTAATCTCGCAGTGGGCTCTTTGAGTGTTGATGGTTCAATATAGAACCGTTTTTTTTACTAAAGAACCCTTGAAGAACCATTTTTTTTTTAATAAACATTAAACTTGATCCTTACATTGTACTTAAACCTTATAATAGAGTGGCCAGTGAGTGGACTCAGAACTGTAGAGAGTACCTTTTCTTCCTGAATGTCTGTGCTATGCATTGCCACTGTTACCATAACGGTGAGTTGTTGGAGCTGTGAAGCTAATTTTTAAAATAAACAATGCCTTGACTTTTATTGACCTGTTTTTTTCCGGTCTGCAGCCCTGCGTGCGTTAGGGTTTGTTCTGATCCTCACGCCAGCGGAACATGTGAGTTAAAATCCAAGTCATACGAGGAGAAAATCTCACTGTTTATGCGACTCAGGGTGGATTCAAAACCTCACAAACTTAAAGCAAGAAAAGCAGATAATTTAGCTCTTCGTTTATCCCACCCTGCGTTCCACAAGATGTTGAAAACATTCCTTTGAGATTCTGGTCCGTGTTGACTTGATTGCATCCCAGTGCAGTTCAGGTGCACTTTCATGCTGCGAGTCTGCGAGTCCCTGTTCTCCCACATTCCAAAGGTGTTCTATTGGATTCAGATCCAGTCACTGGGAAGGCCGCTGAAGAACACCGAGCTTGTGGTCAGGTCCATAAAACCAGTTTGAGACGACGTTTGCTTTGTGGCATCGTATATCATCAAGTAGTCAGAAGAAAATTGTGGCCATAGAGGGATGAACATGGTCAGCAACCGTACTCAAATAGGCTGTGGTGTTCAAGCGATGATTGATTGGTATTAACAGCCCAAAGTGTGCACGAAAACATCCCCCACATTATTACACCACCTCCACCAGTCTGGACTGCTGACACAAGGCAGGTTGGGTCCATGGATTCATGCTATTGGCGCCAAATTCTGACCCTGCCATCTGTGAGCCTCATCAGAAATCCAGATTCATCAGAGCAGGATACGTTTTTCACAGTCTCCAACTGTCTGGTTTTGGTGAGCCTGTGTCCACTGCAGCCTCAGCTTCTGTTCTTGGCTGACGGAAAAGGAACCCAATGTGGTCTTCTGCTGTTGTAGCCCATCCACCTCAAGGTTCAACATGTTGGGCACTCTGAGATGCTCCGGTCAAATTACATGTTGTTGATTGTCTGAGTGTAAATAAGTAAACATAGCCTCTTCAGAGAACACACATCTGCACAATTTAGTGCACAATGATTGTGTATATGCTGAATCCGAAATATTGAAAAATAAATAAATAATAAAATGTGGCAAACGTTATGGCACATTTTATATTTGGTGTTTGTTTTTCCCAATGTGTTAAATTTAGCTAATAAATAGAGATTGTGCACTAAAATGCGCAAAAAAAACATGTTGAGGTGTGTTCTCTGTAGATGTATTAATGTATTAACACTTAGAAAATCAAGAGATCATATAATTTGACAAGGGTTGTTTAAGCTTTTGTATATGACGGTATAGTTTGTCTTTTACATTTATACAAGTATAAAGCCAAAAGGTGTTATGTATGCATTTGAAGCGAATAAATGGAAGAATACTAAATAACAATAACCAAAGCGTCAGAATATCTGTTTCCTCTCACTGAAAGTTTATTTTGCAGAAAAAAAAACAAAAGTAAGTATATTCTAGAGAGTGAATAAACATGTGCTTCTGCACAGCACACGCTCTTTGTTTATTATTTTTAGTTATATTGAAAGAAATCGGTTTTTGGCAGTACTTGGTTTAAATTGCACTGGTGGAAATTCTTCTTCTAATGACTGGCTGTATCCACCAGGGGGCGACCAAACACAATTCTTGGGGAAAAAAAAAACAATGGAGAGAACAGACTGCAGGGCTGCAGATAAGTCACTGTAGTGAAGTGTAGATGTAGAGCAGGATTTATCAAGATGTACAGCACTGAATGAGGTCATTTCTGCTACTCTGTGTTCTTTTGTGTCTATAGATATTCATACCCCGATACCGCGTTGTCTGTTGTTCTCTATCTGAGGCGATACGTCTGCACGTCCGCCATATTGGAGCGGTCAAGATCCGCTTGTGAACAGATTGACTTGTATGGAGAGATGAAGAGTCTCAGGATTAAATCAGCCACAGCTTCCTTATTACTCAACCGATTTTCACCAAATCTGTTTTGTTATAATCCTCAGACATACATTAATCTAGGCTGCATGGATCTGCTCTCGGCAGCTTTTATTTTTTTAATAACTGATCGTGATAATTAGCCGTCCGGACCAGCAGAAAAGTATTCAGTCTTCACCTGACGTCAAAAACCGAGTTTAGCGCGAGTACAAACACAGTGAGACACATCAGCAAATCCATCAGTGTGTGAATCACTTCTAATCTTAATACACATATAAATAAACTAAAACCACCACAAAACACGGTAAAGAGGATGAAGCTGAAGTTGGCTTCCTATTCGCCAGCTTCTTGTTCGAATTTCCCCGTTACACCTTAAATGGTGCAGCAGTTACATTCTGCCCGAAGCTGCAGCATTTAAGGTGGAACGGGAAAATGCGAACAAGAGGCTGGCAATTAAGAAGCTAACTTCAGGTTCGTGTAAGAAGATGCTAACGTTCATCTATTATGAATATCTACACGGATTAATGAACTTACATAGCTACAAAGCATTAACCAGCATTGTAAATAAATAAGTACTACATCAGGTTAAGATCCCCTGAATAGACTATTAAATTAAACACATCAACAGCCCAGACAGTGAGCATATCGGTCCTCTGGCTTGGTATGGTTTGCAGCCTGCTGACTGCTGGTCCACCCTCGGACCACCCAGATTACTGTCCTGCATACAAGGACTAACTAGTTTTTAATCTCCCCAAACAGATTTTAAATGCACAGAGATTTTTTAAAATAAACTTACAAATATTACTAACAACTGAGAGAAAACTGACACTGTGGTCGATTAAAATTATTCACTAAACAAATTTACAAAGTATAACCAAACAAAGGAAGGAAGGGAAAATCAGTAATTTGGACTGTGAATGGAAAATGAGCAATAATAAGTGGAATTTTAAGTAATACTCTGCTTAATAAATGAATGAATGAACCTTTTTAGCCAACTGTGTCTGAACACATCAGAATTAGACCTCCACATTTAACCCATCCGTGCAGTGAAACACCACATACACACTAGTGAACACATATACACACACACACTAGGGGGCAGTGAGCACACTTGTCCGGAGCAGTGGGCAGCCCTATCCACGGCACCTGGGGAGCAGTTGGGGGTTAGGTGCCTTGCTCAAGGGCACTTCAGTCACGTACTGTCAGCTCAGGGGATCAAACCAGCTACCTTCCGGTCACAAGGCTGGTTCCCTAACATCCAGCCCATGACCACCGGTGGGCTGCCTGGAAAACACTGAGCAAAACGCCAGTGGACCACCGGCCTTGCCATCAGCGGGCCGACAGTGGACCACTATCTTTTTGCTATCAGGGAGGTTCTCTGTGCATCAACAACCACACGGCCATATCTACACATAAACACACACACACACATATATATATATATATATATATATATATATAAACCCTGACTAAACTCAGACTAAACCCATACTAAGCCAAGATGAAATTCAGACTTAACCCAGACACAACCCATACTAAATCCTTAGTAAATCCTGACTAAACTTAGACTAAACCCATACTAAACTCAGACTAAACCCTATATAAACCCTGACTAAACAGACTAAATCCCTACTAAACCCAGACTAAACACTGACTGAAGCCAAACTAAACCCTAACAAACCTTACAAT